TAAAATAATGACACAGGTTTATCCTGTTAACGCCAAAAACATTCCCCCCACCAAAAAAAAAAAAAAAAAGAAACTCCCCCGATAGAAAATCTCTGGCTGGGACTGCCCCCAGAACCTCCCTTAATTCCTCGATCTTAAATGAAGCAATAGAAAAAAGAGGCCAGGCAGCATGAAGGGCGACATCACCAGCTAGCAGCAAAAATGGGAAGAGAATCCACACTGGCCACTTCCGCTCAGACAGGGTATCCTTTCAGAGCCGTGTATCCTTGCTGACACAGGAAGGAGGGCGCCCATCGCTCCGCTGGTTTGTGTAGGTGAGAATATGAGGTATGACTACTTCACAGCAGACCAGTTCCAATTCCTAGCGCGGTGTGGTCTCTCCTTCAGTGGGGCTTCTCTCCTGCCCAGCATATATGATTCTCTTTCCCTAAAATCTTCAATGCCACTGTAGCTGATTAAATAATGTGACCTTCCTCTAAAGTCCGTGCATCAAGTTACAGTTTCTAGAGCGAAAATATTTTCACCTTTAAAAATATCAGCGGGAGGTATGTAACCTCCTTGCTAGCACAGTCTCATTAACAAACATCAAGAACTTTCCCCTAAGGAAAACCTCTTCTTGCAATAGCTTTATTTAATTTTCCCATTCTCAACCAAAATGGAGAACAATTCGTCGTTGTCCTTTATGTAATGGTATGGGTATACAAACAAGAAGATGTTTGGAAAGTGATTCATTAATAATATCAACAATACTGTTTACAAATTGTGCTCAAACTGCCTGGCTTCTTCAGCCTCGTGACACCGGCCCTGGGTAGCTCACCCCATACTCAACTGATGATGCCTGGGTTAAATGATGCCTTCACCTAGACCAGAGAAAAGTGTATCACAGTATATCGGGCCTGGGTTCAGGTCTTTGTCCGCGATTTCAACTTGGCTTAAAAATTCTGTGCTCCAGAGAAGACAAGTAACGACTCTGTAGCATCTTCCTACACTGATGGACGGTGACGGCAAGAGGGGGGAGAGGGGGGGCTGAGGACTCGATGAAATGGGTGAATGCTGAAACCACAGTGCTGTTCATGGGAAGCCTTCATAAGACTGGATAGCAGTGATACTAAAAATAAAAAATTCTGTGCTCTATGTTACGCTATTTCAATTTTGAAAACAGAAAGAAATCTTTGTTTCAGGAGTGACTTGTATCAGTGATGTGTTCATTTGTGGGGACAAACTGAATTACAGTTGGGGCAGCAACAGACAAACGGGAAGCAGGTTTGAGAGAAGACTTCTTACCATGGCCTAGAGAGAGATGGGGGGGGTATATATTTTGCTAGAAAGTGACTGGATATGTTCATTAAAACATCAAGTTCCTTTGATCTTCAGTGAAATTGAATCAGTTCCATATGGTGATGAGGACAACTTCACGATGATCAGAAGATCTGACTAGCTGTTGATGATATCATGGGAACTGCAGGGACCTGTTCCTTGCAGAGAGTGGGTTACATATGTCTTTGATAAGTAAAGCCACGGAAATATTAACATTACTTAATAATGTAGTTTAGAACTTGAATATGATCTTGAGTTAGGAATCCTCAAGGAGACAGGGATAAAGGCAACACCAAAGGGGATTTTTCTTTCCTGCCTAGGAAGTTAGGACAGGGTGCACAGAACTTAATGTAATAATAGAGAAGTGTAAGTAGAAAAATGATACTCTGACTTATCAACAGTCATAGAAAACACTTCACTCTCCAGAAATTTTAATCCAATGACTAATATTCCAAAGTTGGAAACTGTATGGTAAACAGAACTTACACAATCAAGATAGTTTAAAAACTTTAAACTAATACAAAAGGTAATGCCACTCTAGTTTCAAAAACCCAGAATAGCTTTCACTAACAGTGAATTAGCACATTTGATTCAGAATAAATAGCATTCATTTTTAATCATTATGTTTGGGTTAGGATTTCAAACATGAATTAGTTTTGTCCTTTCAAGGACAGTGACTGCTATTTTCTATGTTGTTTTAGGGGGAAAAAAATGGAAGCAGAGAAGTCTGTCTTACCTAGTTTAAATAATCCATTGCCTTCCAAGTGAATCTAAGGCCTCCCCAACTGAGTGACTAGGGAATGGCTATTAAATTTCAGTCCTACTCTGATGGAAGTTTATTTCATATTATGAAAAATGTTTGTATGATTTTATCCATGAATTTAGGTTCGACTAAAGCTACTGATAAGAGCAATGTCAAGCAGGATTCTCTTTCAAAGTCTCTGATGAAAACAGACCAGTACTTCAGCGTCCTATTTCATTTTTACAAATCACAGTAAGTAGGAGTTTGCTGTTTTTCATTTTCACTCAACACAAATGAGTTTTCATGAAACACAAATAATTCTACTTCAACATTTTCTTTTAATCTCCCTAAAATATTGTTGAACTAATGTTCAGCAGAAGTCTAACTGCCCAACAAAAACTAAATCGAGATCTGAATTGCAAACAAGTGAACTCACCACTTTAATCAAGGAAGGTGTGATCACTACGACAGTGTGACGTCTGGCTCCACGGCAGTAGGAGTGGTCATGGCACCACCACCACCACCACCATCTTCATCACACCATCTACATGTCTGTTTCTCAGGCAAATCCACACACATTTATCTCATGTTTTTCGTAGTAGCCAGTTTTATAGAAGCTTTCCTTATGCGGGTGCTCCTGGTGTTTTGGGTTAAAAGGAACAATGGCTGGCCACCCAAATTAAACTATGGCAAAGATGATGTAAAAATTTCCCAGAGAAAACATCAGATGTACAACATGAGGAATAAAGTTGACACAGAACACTGTATTATTTCCACCAAAACATCCAGGCTCTGACACGTACCCCCCTATGTGACCTTGAGCAAGTCACTTGACCCTCCAGGTTCAGCTTCCTGATAGTTAAGATGGGCATAACAGTAGCATCCACCTCTCCTGACCATTGACAGGATTAAACACAGAGTTCAGAAAAATGCCTGACCCACAGTGAGCCCACAGTACATGTTAACTTTTGTAATTGCTATTTTTTTAGAACATACATACACACACACACACACACACACACAAATAGATGAATTAGTGATTAGTGACTGTGTAAGCTGCCATCTCTATTTACAACAATAATACTCTTTTTTTTTAACCTATGGTACTGGACTATATTAAATGTAGTTGATTTGTCCACTTAGAAACTTTTATTTTATAGTCACTGAGTCTCTAAACATTGAAGGTATGCCATGACAGTCTTTATTACTGAATTTCACTAAAATCAGTTAATTTCTTCCAAGGTAATCACAAAACAGACTAACACAGCATGCAAAGTGGTTTATTTTAGAAATAGTCACTTTATTCTTCTTCACTGTTAAACAAAGCAACCTCTGTGGCCATTAATGGTAATGACGCTTACTTATTAGTGCTTTCAGGGTGCAAAACGCTTTCCATGCAATGGTGCAACGCTTTTATCTCTTTCTTTTCTCTTTCTTTTCCACAGGGAGAGCCACATGCTTCCCTGCACTCCTGCCTGGGAACACGAGGGGTGGGGGGGCACCTACAGGCAACCACCACCAATACTATTACGTCTGCCCATTTTCTTACAAGCAGTTGAATGTGTGAAGAGAAATGAAGGCCTAACTCCTTCCTTTCCACACAGAGTCACAGAAAACCCAGAGAAATGATAATGTTTCACAAAGGCACTGAACATGCTCTAATTTCATTAGTAGAGAGACTACTTGATTAGTTATTGAAGCATTCAAGTTTTGCCAAGGTTCTTCAGAAAATGCCAGCCTCAAGCTCTCCATGAGTCTGTGAATGGCAATTGCCACAGAACTTTGGTTTTCCACCAGCAAATTCCCTCACATGAAACCTTTTAGTCTAAACACCAGAAATACGAAAGTTTGACATAGTGAAGGGAATAACGTCAACAGCAAGACTGTTTCCTCTACCTTCAAGAATCAAGACATAAATACAGAATCACAGATTTTTAAGCCATGAAGGAACTGGGCTTCAGAGGCATTTTATAAACAACAGATAACCTTTATAATAGTAATAAGAAGAAAAAGAACTTATTTTCCAAAATTAAGTCACCTAAATAATGTTATGAAGGATGAGCAAAGGAAACACTACATCTAATATAACAGCAGAGAATTTGGGAGTCCCTTTGATTTATATATATTTTTCATAGGAAACGATTTGTAGTCTCACAAACTTTGTTTTTATTTGGTCTTACCTTAACCTTTATGTGCTAATGATGGGACTTAGTGTCCAGAAAGTAAAACACAGCTGATGAGGACCCATGCAAACCCCAAAGGTGAATCAGTCCCATGCAGCAAATACTTGATGTTTAGGACCCTCTCTGTGCACAGATGCACAAAGGAACTTGTAGTCCCATCAGAAATAAGTTACTCCTAATCTTGGGCAGGAGCCCAAGATCTTTGTTCTATAAAACCAAGATTACAACACAGAAATCCATTCTGCCTTTAAAAATAAGAAATTTTGGAAGAAAAATGTTTATAAAAGAAATTAAATTAAGAAGGTTAAGAAGACTATAAAAAAGAGAAAGAGCAGGAAAAGGCTCTAATTCACCATTAAAGAAAATGCTGGGAGCCAAACAGGAAAACAAGCCTTTTATGTTAGGGACGGGCCTCTGCAGCAGAGCTCAAAACATGGCCTTGCCACTCTGACAGGTCAGCTGTGAATGACCTCGGAGACGGACTCCGCGATGTCACTTCGGGCTTGCCTGGACATTTCCAAGCACTGTCTGGTCTCTTGATATTATCTCAGGCTTTACCCCATGAGGGCCCAATTCCACAGCAAGTCAGGAACCGCCCCCATGTGCCTAGATATTCCCCCGATACACTCTAATTCAGGCTCAAACCCTTGGGACAGGCATACTAGAAGATTCTACAAAATAGGCAATCTTCTTTCTATACCTATTAGAAATTTCCTTTAATAGTAAAAAAAGTTTAGTAAAAATGAAGAATTCCCTACCTTGAACACGTTAAGCTGCTGGTTAATTGTCTCTGTTTCCATACTAACAGGGCCTTGAGACTCTTCATGTTCTTCAGCCTTCTTAAGCAGAGCAGAAAATTCCTTCAATTTGCTGTAGAATTCTTCCAGACGCTCAATTGTCCCTTCAACATGCTCTTCTCGGGCTTGGGCTCGGTCCAGCAACTTGTTGCATTGTTTGCTTAAAGCCTCCAAGTCCCTTTTGATTCCAACAAAGTCAGGCAAGGCTTCTTCCATGGCCAGCATCATCTTGCAGGTTTTATTGGCATTGCCATTGTTCTCTATGAGAGCTTCCAGTTTCTTCAGAAAGGCTTTAATAGCCTCCCTTTGCTTCTGCAGAGTTTCTACATCTCTCCCCACTGGGGCCATGCCGTCCAGTTCATCATCAAACTCTGCAAACTGAGAAAACATTTCTCGTATGGTATTCTGGAAATGCCCGATGCCCTGAAGCTTGGTTTCTAAAAAGGAACACTTGTCGGCAACCTGCCGGCTTAGGGCACTCTGCTCTTGAGCTAAGGTTTCCACTTGCAACAGAACATCAGAGGTTCCCTTTGAGTCTGAGGCTTCCACCACGAGGTCCTGGGCAAGTCCTTTGGCCAAATCGACCTGATGCTTCAAGGTCTGAAGTGACTTCTGCTGGGTCTGCAGTGTGGTCAGGTATTTATTACTGCAGGCCTGGGGTCCCAGGGAATTATCGGCCTCCAGCTGTTCCTTTGCACACTGAAGCTGCCTTTGAGCTTCTCTGGAAACTTCTTGAAATTCTTTAAACTTCTGGGCCATGTTCTCGAGAGAGAGTTTCTTACTGTGAAGTTGTTCAGTGACCATGTCTACCTTCTGGATCAGTGACTGATTCTCATCCGTGACAACCTCTTTGTCGATCTCACAGACACTGAGCAAGCTATTGGCGGCGCTGTTCAGCACTTCTACCATCCCCAAGTGTTGGTTCACTTCCTTCTGCAGAGACTTTAACTTGCCAACAGAATCCTCTGTTTCAGCAGGATCCAAGGAAAACTGTATTTCCTGCAGGTCGTTCTGACACCTGTCTATCCATGGCTGGAGAGTCTCTACATGCTCTTTATACTTGAGAGCTTTTTCCAATGAATCTTTTACCTTTTCTTCTCTTTCCTTCACCTGGTTATTAAACCTGTCCCAGTTGGTCTTAATTGTGTTTATTTGTAACTGTAAGGCTGCCTTCTCAGACCCTTGTGTTTTTAATAACAGATTTTCACCTTCTGTGATGGTTTTTTCATAAATAATAGACTGAGCGGTCAAAGTTTTATTAAAGTCTTTCTGATCTTTAATTAACGACTCCAAGACATCAAGTCTGGCGGATATTGGGCGAGACTTGCTTTGCTCTTCTTTCTTTGTATCCAACCAAGCCTGAAAATCTTGAGACATTCGCTGAAATTGATGAGAGCTCGCACAGGCTGACTGAAGGTGCTGAATATGACTCTCTAAAAATGAAATCACAGACATGTTTATTTTACATCAAAAAACCAAGAGAAAAACCACCAAATACTTGTACAGAACTGTTTAAAAGCAAGGGCGGTGACTATCAGAGTACACCTGTAAGAGTACAAGTGAGCTTCAGCTAATGATAAGGGGAGAAAAGAGAGCAAGAGGGAGTTGCAACGAGACAAGCAAAGCTAGATGCTAGGGTCACAGCAGCTCCAGTGCAGGCAGGCAACCCCTGCTCAAAGGTCTAGGTCACTCTGATAAATAATCCATCCCTTATCAAATATGACCCCCAACGTCTATGATTTTCACACATCACAGAGGAGCTACAATGTAGCACATAGGAATTGCACGGGCTTGGATCCTGGCCCAACTTCCCAAGAGCTGGAGACCCTGGGCACACAGTAATCAAACCTCATTTCCCCCACTGTTAATTGTCAACATTAATACAAGCTGCTGTGGCAATTAAATAAGAATTGATAACAGGAATAGTACTTATCATAATAATAGTATTGATTATCAGTATCATGCCAAAATAAAGATGTAAGAAACTATTGCTATGATCAAAAAACAATAATTTAAAAGACCAATCAATTAAAAGACACAGAATATTTATTAGGTATAGGGCACCCTGTGTTCCTTTTCAAACAGCACAAATGTAGCAGACCATGTGCTCTTCCTTGGCAGGCACTTCTGCGTCCCACTGCTCACTACAGCTACCTTGGACAAACACGGGCACACTCACAGAATTATGGCCACGGCAGGTAAGAGAGGAAAAAGTGCCAAATGCTTGTCTTGCACACATTTCTCTAGGACAGCTTTCTATGACAAAATGAAACAAAGTAACTGGAGGTGATAAGATGATGAAAAGCCTCTTTAATAACTGTATTCATCTGTTTTTCTGGTACAGTGAAACTGCCACCCAGCAAAAACGTTTACAGTGTTTAAAGAACCAATTTGGAATACCTGAAATTTTAATGTGCCTTCATTAAGTGGATTTTGCCAACAGACTGTGTCTCTGTTCTCTGTGCAGCACGACCCTGACAGTGTGCACACACAGGGCCAGAGAACTGCTCTCTGCGAGCTCCTAACAGCAGCCTTCCCCTCAACTGTGCTCTCAGTGGGGGCAGATTCTCTTTAGGATCTTGGACTACTGGCAACAGCTTAGAAATAGGCAATACATTACCTCCATTTCTAGGGAACACATGCATTAAAAGAAGACAGACAAACCTGCTTTGCATTCAATATCCTTAAATGATTTTAAGATGCCTTCTAGTTGCCTACTAAGCTCTGCCTTCAAGTACTCTTCTTTAACCAGTGCTGACAAATCCTCACAGAGGGTCTGGGCCACTTTTATCTGCTTCATTTCCTGCTCTATTTCCTGCTTCATTTTCTGGGCGGTTTCCAGCTGCTGGTTCATAGCATCAGGGTGTGTGCTCACAGCCACACTGCTGCTGAGTTCATGATCCAGGTCACTCAGGTTACCAGAAAGGCTTCTCAGCAGACTCTGATACTGGGTGCTTTTAACAAGGGCTTTGTCAATCCAGGCACATCTGTCACTCAATTGTCCTGTTAGGCTATCCCATTTTTGGGTCACAGCTGCCAGTTGCTCTTTCACAATCCCATGGAAAGAAGGGTGTTCACCAGGTCTGCTCAGAAGGCCTTGACCGGCTGCTGTAAGCTGCTCATATTGAGGTTTCCGGGTATCAAATTCTTGCAGCAGAATCTACAGTAAAGAGGGAATGAGGATAAATAAACACACCAATTACAGGATAATTAGTTATGGAAAACATAGCTTGAAGTTTCTAAACAGAAGTGTCATTTATATGTCTAGCTTTTATTTATTTATTTATTTATGATGTTACTCTTTTCCTAGTTGTTATTTCAAGGGCAGTGCAATTATCTTAAACTAATCTAAGGAGCAATGGTGCTTCATAGAACATTTTGTCTGAAATTAACAACCCCCCAAGGGGAAAAGGAATACATATTTTTGGTAGTCTAGACAAAATGAATAGAAATTTATACACAAATTTTCATATACAAAGGGAAACACTGCTATTAGACAAGATGACATCACACTGACAATTTGTTTTTTCCATTTTGTAGTTCTCTCTTTGTGGGATCTTTAAAATACTCTATAGCATTTTATACTACAGGGAATGCACAGTGGAAACTGTTAGAACGTATAACCTTACCATGCACTGATTTACAAAGTTTTTTTAACATAAGATTTATAGACATTTTCAATCTTTATTATAAGGATTTTAGCCCATAAATCATGTTGCCTAGAACGTGCAGGCTCAATATTGGCTCTAATTATAGAATGAATGATACAAAAACTTCCTTCACTTAATAACATGTTTTATCTATCTCTGGGAAACTACCAAGACTAGAGGCAATTATTTCTCTTCACATTTATTGATACCTTTTGGTTTTATTCTCTTCAGATTAAGGGCATACATGAGATAGGACATGTGATTCTCAACTATAAAGACTAATCTGTAATTTCAGAGTATAGGACCGGGCTCACTATACTAATATCACTACTCATACATAAAGAACACACACACACAACAGAGTTTCTGCTATCACCTCTCACTTACATTTTGTGGATTTTCCTCCCCTTGTGGATTTATCCACTTTACCATTAGACTAGTCTCACGAACCCACTGGGTTTCAAGATTTCCTCTCTGCTTCCCTTCTTCTTTCTCCTCTTTTTATTCTGTCTCTCCCCACCTCAAGCTTTATTACATGAGTTTTACAAGTTTCATTATCTACTATCACAATCAAAATGAATAAAAACCTCAAAGGAGCAATTTCTAAACAATAAGAAAGCATACACAAGCTTCTCATAAAAATGTTATTACTTCTACAGTCACATTAATACTTCACAGAAGGCCCTTTCTAGCAGGGTTTGCACAAACTATAAGACAACTGAAATGATCAAGGCATTTGATCCATTCATAAGCTAAGCAGACTACTGTGGGACACCTCACAGCTTTGGTACCCACTAACCCCAGGGCAGTACCTTATGGGCACCTGAAACATTACACACACACTCCAAGGCGGTAAAAGCACATACTGTCCAAAGCTAATGTATTTATAAATGAAAACATATGTCTTAAGTCAAGTCATACTCACCTGCACCTGCTGCCTTTGTGTGTTTAGCATATTTGGGTCAATTGACAAGGGCCCAAGAACACTGACCATCAGTTCTTTCTCTACAAGCCATTGTTTTAACTGAGCTTCTACAGTTTGGAATTGGGTTAGATTATTAGAGGATTCTTCCAGTTTTTGCTGTCTGTCAGCTGTCAATTGATTGAGTTCTTGCCACTTAGAATCTGAAAGAAAATTATAAAGGATGAAACTGGTGTTTGGTTCTTATACATTTAACGTGACCATATCTATGAAAACTGTAGGATATGACTTGAAATGATATATAATGGCTATCATTTCATCTTTATAACCCTTTTTGGTTATATAGTCATTATAATTTCTTCTATAGTTGATTGAGGTCTACGAGTTAATTACATTTAATGGTACAGGTTTTATGGTCCTGCTGGTTGTAGGTCAACTGAAGTGTAAGAAAAATGAACTTCACTCTGTTTCTAGAAGACAATGTTGAATAAGTAGTATTCCTTAAGGCAAACAGGATCCTGAAGTCCCTCATTCCTTCTAGAAGTCCTATAGAGTCTGTTAATTCAACTATAAGTGACCAACCAGAACAACGAATATTAATCCTTTCCCTTAATGGGAAATCTTCAGTGATCAGTTCCAGGAAAATGATTCCCACAGGTGCACATCTACGCCCAGCCCTCCACTTCCACTCAAATCTCACATTAGCAACCAGCTGCTCAGAAGTTGCATAGCATATCTCACCTACCCTGTAAACTCAATTAAAAAAAAAACACTTTATATTCCTATCAAAACTGGTGGATTTTTCTGATTTCTAGATTTCTCTCAAAGGTTATTCCCTCCCCATGTCACAGAGATGCAACAACTAAGATACTAATATCACTACTCATACATAAAGAACACACACACACAACAGAGTTTCTGCTATCACCTCTCACTTACATTTTGTGGATTTTCCTCCCCTTGTGGATTTATCCACTTTACCATTAGACTAGTCTCACGAACCCACTGGGTTTCAAGATTTCCTCTCTGCTTCCCTTCTTCTTTCTCCTCTTTTTATTCTGTCTCTCCCCACCTCAAGCTTTATTACATGAGTTTTACAAGTTTCATTATCTACTATCACAATCAAAATGAATAAAAACCTCAAAGGAGCAATTTCTAAACAATAAGAAAGCATACACAAGCTTCTCATAAAAATGTTATTACTTCTACAGTCACATTAATACTTCACAGAAGGCCCTTTCTAGCAGGGTTTGCACAAACTATAAGACAACTGAAATGATCAAGGCATTTGATCCATTCATAAGCTAAGCAGACTACTGTGGGACACCTCACAGCTTTGGTACCCACTAACCCCAGGGCAGTACCTTATGGGCACCTGAAACATTACACACACACTCCAAGGCGGTAAAAGCACATACTGTCCAAAGCTAATGTATTTATAAATGAAAACATATGTCTTAAGTCAAGTCATACTCACCTGCACCTGCTGCCTTTGTGTGTTTAGCATATTTGGGTCAATTGACAAGGGCCCAAGAACACTGACCATCAGTTCTTTCTCTACAAGCCATTGTTTTAACTGAGCTTCTACAGTTTGGAATTGGGTTAGATTATTAGAGGATTCTTCCAGTTTTTGCTGTCTGTCAGCTGTCAATTGATTGAGTTCTTGCCACTTAGAATCTGAAAGAAAATTATAAAGGATGAAACTGGTGTTTGGTTCTTATACATTTAACGTGACCATATCTATGAAAACTGTAGGATATGACTTGAAATGATATATAATGGCTATCATTTCATCTTTATAACCCTTTTTGGTTATATAGTCATTATAATTTCTTCTATAGTTGATTGAGGTCTACGAGTTAATTACATTTAATGGTACAGGTTTTATGGTCCTGCTGGTTGTAGGTCAACTGAAGTGTAAGAAAAATGAACTTCACTCTGTTTCTAGAAGACAATGTTGAATAAGTAGTATTCCTTAAGGCAAACAGGATCCTGAAGTCCCTCATTCCTTCTAGAAGTCCTATAGAGTCTGTTAATTCAACTATAAGTGACCAACCAGAACAACGAATATTAATCCTTTCCCTTAATGGGAAATCTTCAGTGATCAGTTCCAGGAAAATGATTCCCACAGGTGCACATCTACGCCCAGCCCTCCACTTCCACTCAAATCTCACATTAGCAACCAGCTGCTCAGAAGTTGCATAGCATATCTCACCTACCCTGTAAACTCAATTAAAAAAAAAACACTTTATATTCCTATCAAAACTGGTGGATTTTTCTGATTTCTAGATTTCTCTCAAAGGTTATTCCCTCCCCATGTCACAGAGATGCAACAACTAAGACTGTTTGACTCTCTTTAATCCTTGACATAAAACTGTGCACGCATTCAACCACATTCCCAAGGTCCTAAGTCCATTTTGGTCCTCATGTTTTGCCTACACCAGTGGTTCTCAAACTTTAGCTGCATTAGAATCACCACAGGAATTGTTAACACAGGTTGCTGGGCCCCAGGCCCCAAGTTTATGACTCAGTATGTCTGAAGTGGGGCCTAAAATGCACATGCTGTTGCTCCCAGGAGCAAACTTCTGAGAACTACAGACCTCGACTGCCAGTCTTCCAACTGGCTTCCCTGAAATGAGAGTTCTCAGCTGCAATCCATTGGTTCTAAAATGATTTCCCTAAAAAAAAAACAAAATCACTTACATATGTTACTTCCATGCCGAAATCACTCAACAATTACCTCCTCACCACCAAGATGATAAAATCTGAAGATCTCTGCTTGACATTCAAGGCCTTCCACAAACTGACCTTGTCTACTGACCTTAGGGAGCCTGCACTCTGAGATGAGACCCCTAAGCTAGACCTGCTGATGAGCCTATTATCATGCAAACAGGCATTGCTCTCATAAGCCCCATCCGTACCTGCCAGGCTCTACTTATGCACATATTCCAGGTCTACCTTCTTTCAGAATCCCCCTGGATTGTACGCTCTGCTAAGAAGCCCTACCTGCTCACCCCACCCTCAAGACAGCCTGCTTGCTACCTGAACCCAAGAGCCATTGATTAGCCCTTGAACACATCAATTACTCAACAGACAGTCACTGATGGGTGTGATTAGTTGATCTGAAAGATTTTTTTCACCTAGCATAATACATTAAAGGGCTGCTTTTAACAGAACCCAACCCCTGAAACATTATCTAAGGACATCATTTCAATATGGCATGTTCTAGTCAAACACAATCTGACAACAAAATCCTGCAATTAAAACAATAAACTGAGAGGTAGTTATTTCAAAATTTTACCAGGAAGCATTTTGAAATACACATTCCTCACTCCCACCCACATTCTAAAATGTCTTGATAACTTTTCCAAATAATTCTGATGTCCCAGGTGAGAGCCACTGATTTAGGAATAAATTAATTACAATGCAACAAGTCACTATGGTTGGATTAAATATACCTTTGAATATTAAGTACCCATAGGATAACCTTTTTTAAACTAAAACAACTTACAGATTTATAAATTTATCACAACATATCTGACTCTAAAGGAAGACCAATATTCAATTAAATGTAATGGAACAACCGAAAGTAAAGTAATTCTTATAATAATCATAATAAACACACAGCACTTACTATGTGCCAGGTGCTATTTGTCTGAGCTTTATGCACATTAACTCACTAAATTCTGCAAACAACACTATAAAGTGGGGAAAAATTAGTATTGCTGTCTTACACTGTTTTCCGTATCAGTGTAATAATGAAAAGGCATGATAAGATAATAGGGCTTTTGAAAAAGATTCTGTACTTATGAGGAACAGTTTATACAGGGGCAGGACCAACATGGGAGGGTAACTCTGCATAAAAAATCAAAAATACCAGACTTCTGTGGAACAGTACTTTTTTATACTGGTTGGGGAAAAGAAGAGTATAAAGTAGGGGCTAAAGAAGTCCCAGAAGGAACTCTATGAAAGAGAAGGGAGCCTTATACCATTTCCCGACAAATGAATGAAAAAGAATATTTAAACTAAAATAAGGATAAAAAACTAGAAGCACCAAAAACCTAGTAAAAAAATAATAATAATGAAAACAGGTCACTCAGTACACTGCATTTTATTAACTAGTATCTACCATCTTCATAGAAATAAAGGTAAGTACTATGTTTAGCAAGAAAGCCCGCAGGATATGCTGGGCTCAGCACAATATCATCTGAAATGACATCTTTAAGGATGCAAAAACAGATTCTGAAACATCAAAGCAGATCCAAAAATAAGTGAGGCTATTGGATAAATGTTTTCTGATAAAGATAATGATAAAACAGTGACTGAGCTTCTGTTCGTGGACTCTGGTGTAAGGAATAGAACATACCTATTTCTGTCAGCATCTGTTTCCACTTGGGGACTTCAGGAGTATGTGGGTTCTCCTCCAGCAGTTCTGTCAACTTGTCTTTCAACTCCTGTACTTTGTTTACATTTTGCTTCAGTTCTGCCTCAAATGACTAACAAGGGCAAAAAATAATAAAGTAACTTACACTGACATAGGTCAACATCAAAAATCAAAAACACAATCAAGATGGAGTATTTCCTTCTCTAACATGACCATAAGAGGAAAAAAATCCACTCATAAATGCTGAAAAGTGGGTGAGGACTTGGGTTCAGCAGAAAGATTTTCCTTTCCTCTTCTTAACTACTTTTCAACTACCTGAAGAAGGAATCCAAGAGGAACACTAGAGCTCTGGAGAAAAGGACTCTCATCCCTATTACCTAGGAAGAGTTTCACACTGTTCTCAAACAAACCCCACTGAAAAAGAAGGGGAGAGGACATCCAGGTGACTGTAATTAAGAAGAAAAATCAGACTTGATAAATGCTGCCACGTTTGAGATTCAACAACTAGTGACTGAGCGCTTTCTGGATAACACACTACCGACTTCCGTGTAAGTTAGTAATTTGTAGACATTTTTGCCACCATTGCCACAATGTAAAACCATGTTCCCAGTCTTGACAGGTGTCGAAAGAAATATTGTTTATTAAAGAAAGAAAAGTATGAACTACACTATTTTATACTGGACACAACAAATCCCTAATACACTTCACCCTTAAATAAATCTTCGCCCATAGCTGACTGGTTAAAATCCCAGACTTAAACTGATTTAATGGTGGCAAAGCTGCTTCCATCCAGCAGTTCACTCATCTTTATGTCTGTGCGTAAACACAGCCAACTACTATCATCAACCCCTACCGAAAGGTGCATAAACAGAATTGGCAAACGATCTGCTGAAGGCTGGCAGAGCGAGAAATCACAGCAGGGGTCCTGCCCCTGGGGCTCAGCTATAGACTCATCTGTTCTCTTCCCGATCTTCAGGAAATGTGCCCGCAGAATATACCTTATTCTGCTCAACTTGAGTCCTCACTGCTTGAGCGTCTGTAGGTGCAGGTGCCTGATCCAGCTGGGCTGCAGTTTTGTTCATCTTCTGTAACCACTGCATCATTGTACTCGATTCTTCCTGAGCCGTCTGCAGTTTGGAGAGCTTAGCATTCAATTCAGCTATTTTGTCCTTAAGTAAGAGACCAAGATCTTCATAACCGTGGCTTATGTCAGTCATATCTTTTTTAATGGATGTTAATCCTAAAAGTAAGAAAAAAAAAATCACACTGACACATTTTCGTGGTGTTTAGAGTTCCAGAAATAAAAGTTGTTTCATATGATACTCCCTCCTGTTCTGTCAATATTAAGCCCAATGTGAGATAAAGCCATAGAATTTTTAAAACTAAAAGGTTAGAGCATTGTATAATGTTACTTAATGATGAATAATTTAGAAACATTGCATAATACAATGTGAAATGAATTAGACTTCTTAAATGGAATAAAAAGCCAAAATCAAAAGATATTACTTTTCAATTTCCCAGGAAACTCAATAGCTCAAATAATGTTATCCCAAGTGACAAAATATCTCAAATTAACCAAAAGAAGGAAACATACCAGATTTCACTAATTTCAGATGAATGAAATTGCATGGTATGTTACATAAATAGGATTTTATGGAGAACATAACTATGATATTAAATAATACTACTTTCATTCAAGTTTGAAATTTCAATATAGTTACTGTCCACCTCCAAGATTTTCTCTCAAGGAAACAAAACAAAAAAACCAAAGTGACTTTAATCAATAAGCACTTAAAGTTACTAATCACCTTTATTTGCCAAAATATCCTGAGAGTCTGTGGCTGTTCCTTCACCATTTAATATTACTCCACCTGCAAAAATATTAATAGTGAAGTAGTCATAGATTTCCACAGCATTTCTATATAATAGATGACATTAAATCAAACCCCATAAACTGTTATCATTTTAAAATGTTATTACTATTGGAAAATATACTGATTTACTGATTCAATTTCTAAATCAAACAGGTCCAAATGTAAAGATCAAGCTATAACCTCTCTTCCATATAAAATTCATTCTTAGGGTAACACGATTGCCTGAAATCCTAGAGTTTCAGTAAGTTTAGATTGTATATATTAATGATAGAGTTTGATCAAAATTCATTTAATATTAATTTATAAAACAATTTTGTGATAAAGTTGCTTTATTAATAGTTATTTTAATGATAAATCCCCTCAAGCTCTAGCAGTTAGCAAAAGGAAGGGAGTGGGGGTGGTGAGTAGAGAGAGGGAGAAGGGGATTAAGGGGTGTCACGATTAGCACACCTAACTAGGGAGGGGGAGGGGGCATGGGGAAGACAGTAGAGCACAGAGAAGACAAGTAGTGACTCTGTAGCACCTTACTACACTGATGGACAGTGACTGAAATGGGGTGTGTGGGGGGATTTGATATTATGGGTGAATGTAGTTACATAATGTTGCTCATGTGAAACCTTCATAAGATTGTGTATCAATGATACATTAACAGAAAAAATAAAAGAATAAACAAACAAACAAACAAATAAATAAAGTCTCTCTAGCTCAAAAGTCATGACGTAAAGGTGTTGCACAAAGCCGAAGTGACCAACAAACAAAAGACTGTCTGCCTTACTTTAGGAACTGAAAACTGCTGTAGTTATAAAGTTTTATCATGGGTTTAATGAGAGCAGAATGATGTACAAGAACATGAAAGAGGTTAAGAGTAAAAAAAAAAACAACAAAACCCTATTGCTAAACCCACATTACATCCACAGAAAGAGAGGAGAGCTCAGTGGTTAGGATGCCCATGCTTTGGTATATGACTCACCTGAATTTAAACCCCAGCTTCACTAATTACTAGCTGGATCACTGGATAAATTAATCACCACCCCACCAAATGATGTGGATAATAATACCTAACTTTAACATAGGTATTAAAGACAGCTAACCTACTGCCTAGCATTAGGAATTATTCAGTGAATAGTAATCATTATTTCTCTTTAATTATATAAACATCTAGCACTGGTACCTTTTTCATAATCAGAATAAAATCAATTAGATTTTCTCATGCTAGTGAGTACTGGCTACCTATCTGAAACACAGATATTTCTCCAAACTATCCAGACAAGAATAAGTCTAAGACAATAACATTTTGAATCTTAATCTAAGGTTTTTACCTTTAAAAAAAATCACACATGACATTTCAGATGGAAGTGAAAATATCCTGTAGATGCTCAAGATGAATTTCTACCATGCCTGGTAGTTATCAAGAGAGCAGGAAAAAAATAGTTTATGTATTGCAAATAGAAATGGATGTGAAGAACTAAATACGTAAAAGAATTCTTTTTCTTAAAAAAAGGGAACAACATTTCAGGAAATCTGATTAGGAGAGAAAAAAGAGATCATCACACCATATATGAGTGCTCCCTGAAATGGGATTAGCAGAGCAGAATAAATGGCTGGTTGAGAGGGAACCAGCTGGAACATCGGCCTCACAATATGGACAGCTGGGCACTGGGCAGAACAGATAAACCACCGAGAATACTCCAAAACTCTCAAAATGAAGATATGAGATCGCCTTCATCTATTCCTGGAGTTTAAAAATTCTGGTATTGACAACAACATGAATATGTTTTAAACTTAAGCCTCTATCTACAACTTAATCTTAGAATCACTGTTTATACATGAATCCCCTTCTGTAATGAAGCATGCCTCAGCTATGATTATGATTTAGATATGCTAACACACTACATAATTGTTTTCTTTGGGAATAGTATACAGAATAAAGTAGACAGGAATAAAAAAAAAGAGAGGTCCACTCCACAGAAAAGAACCTGTTTTCTTCCCTGACCTCTTTTTTCTTGTGAGATCAGACTCATTTTTTATTTACTCCTTTTATGTCAAATATTCCATTTGACATATTTAAGGGGACAAACAAATTGGAATCTAACCTGGCCTCTTCCCTAACATAGTGCTCCTTATTCTTACTTATTAATTTGGCTACATTTTACTTGTAGTCTTTAATAAAATGAAACAGAAGAAGGATGTGAAATTTGACTAGAAGAGATACTTTTCCATGCCAGCTTTAGGTGTGTTTATAGGTACCATCTTTCTTGTGTCTTTCCCTTTGTGCTTCTGAGGTTACTATCTGTGTTAATTTAAAAAGATACACAAATCAAATAAATATTTATCAAATAAATATACCATGAACAATTCTTACGGTGTTTGTCACGAACGTAAATAAACTACATACCTGATTTAACTGCTGCTATGGCCTTTGAAGGGGTAGTCACCGCACTTATTAGGTTACATAGTGAGATCCCACTGTTGTTTACTTTCTGAATCTCTGGCGTTTTTAAACTCCACTCTTCTTGTAATTTCTTGAGATATAAGAACACATTATCTTTCAGTCTTCATGACATTTTCAATGTTACACACTGTAATTCAGTTGCTAGAACATATCTTCAAGCAATGATGGTTGTGGGTCCTGATGTGTGAGGGAATGGATAGAAGAAAAAGGCACCATCCCTGGGTGTCCTGCAGCCCAGGTGACTGTTAGCTCTGTTAACAGCAGGCTACACCCATCCTGCCTTCTGCTCCTCACCATAGTGGAAGACAGGCGATTCCTAGCTTCCATGGGTTCCTAACTAACTATCAACTGTATGTCTGAAAAACTGTACAAGGTTACAGCTAAGTTACAGGAAGAAATGTACTAGAAACAATAAAAAAAAAAGGGAATTCAGAATTCCACTTAATAGTGAGTGTGATCATCAAAATTTCAATGAATTTTTAAAAACACCTATCTCCACATATCTGGAGTGAAAAAATTGCCGTAACTGGTCATAGGTGTGTGTCAGATGACAAAAAACTTATTTACACTAGAGACTCAAATAACATCCATCTTCAAATACTGGTGTACCCAAGCTGGACTAAGATGCTGAGAATAGAAGGGAAGGATCGTTCACTCACCATTATGTGAAATGGTATAAAAAATAACTGAAACTAAATAGAGATTTGGTTGGGAAGGAAATTTGGATCCTATAACAACAGGAAGTTTGTGTCCTTCCTCAAAAGGATCAGTTAATATCATGTCATTATTTCCAAATATCATGACAAAATATAGAGTACTGACCGATATATATGAAATACACTGTACATACATGTGGATCTAACTTATGTGATATTAGATCAAAGGAAACCATTCTTAGTCTTTTAACCTCTCATTGTTGACACAAGCAAATGAGAAACTAGTATTAGACACAATCAGGTACCTTAGCTTCTCCCAAAGATTTTCCTAAGTCCTCTGCACCAAAGGAAGGCTGAACAATGGGAACTCGTTCTGTGGTTTCTTTTATCCATGACTTGAATGACTTAACAAGCACTTGGAAAGCATCCATCTGTTTTTGACAAGAAGACACAGCTTCTTTTCTAAGTAACAACAACAAAAAAGAACGCTGAAGAATTTAAGCCACAGAAAGGAGATACTCAAAGACTAATTATTAATAAATAATTATTCCCATATCAGGCTCAATATTAAGAAACATCTTCCCCCATGCACACTCGAACCCTTTGATGTAAGAGGAAAGGTTTCATTGGTGGTAAATAAAATCAGCTAAATAGCTACACCTCTATCCCTCAGGCAGTCAACAGACAAAGATAAGGAACAGTCAAAATATCTGTAACCCATATGCAATGGCACTCCAAAATGCTATATAAACTCTAAGGCTATGTAAACAGTTTTAACATGATTTAGATTCAGTGAGCTTTGATCTGTCCACTTTACACGGTGCTTAGTGCCAGCAGGAACGGAACCAGAAGGGAAACGTATAAACCACCGACCTGAGAAAACACCCCGCCACCTAGTGGTTCTAACGCTGCACTACAGTCACTTCCGTGGAGGCGTAAAGGGGTGCTCGAGAGTATAAACTTAAGTCTCCAAATACGAGGTGAGACCTAATGACTGAAGAATTTTAATGGATGCCTTCCCACAAACACTAAGAAAGCTCCAAGATCAACTCCATGGATCTTTCTGTCCACTCAGCACCATGAAAGGCGGGCACATGGGCAGCTGTGAGGACAGTTACGTTTGGTACATGGATGGCATGTGGATGGCATGTGAGCTGTGCAAGGGTCTGGAGTACTGGCACATGAGCGTCTACTGCATCTGGATTAACTTCTGATGAATACTTGCTTTAAAATTGCACCCACTTGAAAGAAGAAACAACCTAAATATTTCTTCGGTGTGCTGTGAATGTTCATGACAAGATGGAATATACTGCTCTGGGAGTCGGACAGACAGCACTCAGAAGTTTTAGGTAGAGAGTTCTGAACAAATACAGCAGAGCTGAAAAAGAAATAACTATTTTCTATCTTTCTGGAGTCTTCTGTATGAACTTTAGCAAAACCAGATGTATATTCTAAACCAACATGAGATCAGAAATATAGAGGTTCAGTCACAAGGCTCATCTCTGTACAGCTTTGGTAGCTCAACTCAGGTTCATTTCTTGCTTCTTTATTTTGTTTGTTCATGGAGTCATGTCTTATCTACAATTCTAAAAAGTAAACTACTTTTTTAAAAAAAGGTCATCAAGAACTATATTGAAAATGCACATATCTTCTGAATTGAGCCCAGAAAGCAATGAATCACGAGCTATTTTTCAAGGTTATTTCTGCTTTGGCAAATAAAAATCTGGTCTTTGCTAAAGCTTCAGAGGCTAAAGCAAATTTAGACTATTTTTAGTAATATGCTACCCACCACCATTTTTCTTACATAATGCTTTCTAGTTTTATATAAGGAGTACTGCCTTTCACTCCTAAATATTTTAAAAAAAGTGCACTTACTTTCAATAGCAAAGAAAAATTACCAAAAGCACTTATAAAGTAGCCCTATGCTTGTCTTCAAGCTTTCAAAATTGTTTCCACTATCAACATAAGTAAATAACAAGAATTCATTCTAATTAGTACCAAATAGAATAAAATCCAGTTTCTTAAGCGGTGCTTACTTTTCTTTGATAGTATCCTCCATTTCCTTGAATTTCTTCGACAAATTATTTGTTTTTTCAAAAACGAGAGCCTTATCACCTGGCAAGCCATGGTTGGAAATCTCCTTCAAGAGACTATGCAAAACTTCAAGATCTTTTTTGTGTTCTGAGAGTTCAAAGGCTGATTCCTACAAAGCATTTAGATATTTAATCAGTATAAGATGTTGCTAGATCTTCAAATGGCATTCCCCTTGAAGGATTACTAATCCATCAGCAATTAAAATGATGACTGCTAATTATAATTCTGCTAATAAATGTATTAGCGTGTCTTCACTGTTGATACACTTTATCAACCTTGTGATTACAAGGAAGACATACCTGCATATACTGAGACAATTCAGTAACATCTTTTCCTGGCACATCTGCCTCAGTAAGAGCCTGAGTTTTTGTTTCTAAAAATGTTTGGAGCTTTTCTGAGAGGTTCTCAAAGAGTTCAACTTTAGTTTTTAGGTCCTCCATTTTGGCGAGTTTTTCTTTGTGTTTATGACTTGCTTCTGAAAAACGAACAGACAAGTCCTTCATTCTGGCCTGCAATGAAGATGCCGTGGACGGATCTGTCGTTTCCATAAATTTCTTCACTTTCTCGTTCATAGCATTTATACTGCTCTGATGCCCTGCAATATCCTGTTCCAGCATCTGAAATGAACCAGAGATTGCACATGTCTTACAATGATGTTTACAAATAACGTCACAGAGTCTTTAAAAATTACTATTCATAACAATATAAGCTTGAATAACCTGTGATTAAGGGAGGTTAATGGTTGATACTGACTGACAAGTCTGATCTGTCTCTGGAGGAATACCATCCCCAATCTCTTTCAGAGCGAGTGGAGAACAGCTGGTGAGTTGCCTAAGCAAGGCAGGAGGCGGCAGCTACTCAACAGCCTGGTCTCGTGGAGCCTAGGGATTATGCATGGTCCTAATTTTTAAAAGGCTAGACAACAAGATTGATCTGATTAACCTTATGTGCAGCTGGCTGAAGTAATGATAAGCAAGATAGGACTCAATGTATGTGTGAGTCCTCTACAATTAATAGTATTCATGAAACTGTGCACAAAACTCCACACTCCTGCACTGAAACGTTGTTTTACACATTTAACTTTGTGCATGCACTACTTTCTTTCCATGGTTAGGTTCAAGAAACACCTTTTTTTCTATATCCTTAACCTGATCTACACATCCATGAAGCTTATTAAACTGTTTTTTCCCCCCTCTAAAAGTAGGACTCTTTTTCTTTTTAAAATGTCACTTACAATGTGTTTACTGATCACATCCTGAAGAGCAGCAGAACTTAAGGGCACTTGACCTGTTTCTCTCATAGAGCTCTCCACGCTTCCCATCCAGTCCAGCATTTCGTCCAGGCCATCCTGCACACTCAGTGAGCGGGTCAGGGTTATCTGGAGTTTCTCATTTCGGTCAATGACAGACCTGGACACTTCGTCATATCTCCCAACAATGTCATCTGGCCCAAAAAGATCAGGAAATGTTAACCACAAAATTATTTCTGGCCTATTCTTTTTCAAAAATACACTAAGGTGAATCACAAAATTTCCACCCCCGTACTGGAAAAAGAAAAAAGTTTAAATGATAAATGTGTAATGCATATTTAGAGCACTACCTAAAACCTTTAAAAAGAAAGAAAAGATCCCAGAGTAAAATAGAAAACTGAAATATTTTTTTAAATAGGTAATATAGATGATCTGCATTTGAAAAGTGATTTTTGGATGCATAAACACTTGAATTTGCCTCCAGAAATGAAAGTTGTTCAAACAGCCAATTATGAATAAATATTGATAGTCAAGATGACATTTAAATTAGCCATACTTGATAGCTATATGGGAAAAAGAAAAAGGTAACAGTCATATACAGCTATTCTCAAGAAATAATACACAATTAGATAAAGATTCATCAAGAATGAACCTGTATATATAAGAATTCTCTCTCTCCCTCTCCCTCATGCACCCACTCCTTGTCTCTCAATCACATACATGTAAGAATTAAGCTTCTCTCATCCTTCACACCCTAAGCAGAGTCCTCAATGCACAGAAACTAGCAGATACAAACATATTGAGAAAACAGTGAAAATTTACTTAAAATAAAGAAAGTGGAGATTATGTTTCTAAAATATACATAAATAGAATTTACTTTAGAAGTTTAATAGAACACAAAAGGGAAAACAAACAAGGTTAACAGATTGATGTATCTCAGTTGAGATTAACTTTACTTTTAATTCTAAAGACTTAAGATGATGAGAAAAAAGCCCTTTCTGGCCTAGTTTTCACTTGGATATAAAGCTCTACATCTTAACACCCTACATTCTATACCGCAGACCAATGAGAAATTTAAAGAACAATGGTTTTTAATGTATTCATCTCTCTATATAAAACAATTTGTTTTTAATCAATTTACTGTTAATTATCCAATAATTTGAAAAGTACTTTACTCCTTTCTGAATGCTTTAGGATAATACATTGTAGAATACTTCAGTAGAAAACAAAGGAAAACAAAACCTGAAACATCTCTCTAAAAATGAGATATCTGACATGCTTAGTGTTTGGCCCATGGAACATAATCTATAATATCTAACACTAGATCACGAGAAAACAGTTTGACACATTGTCACTAAATTAAGATTTTAAGTTTGGATGATTTAAAGAGATCATCTTGCTCAGGTCACAAAACACAATGAAGCCCTGAGAATGCTGATGGAGTATGAGGACTCTATTTAATATGCACCAAGATGCTATCGGCCAAGAAAACAAGCAGTGGGTTCAAGTATGAGCCCTAATCTGAGAGATGCTCTGAACTGCAGGTCACAAGTGGCAGCTCTGTGCATCAACAGGGTGGCATCGAGTGTGTGCTGGGCCATGCTAAGGGACTTGCCCAGCAAAATCAGCTATTTTCATAAAATTAAAACTTTTGAGTTTTACCGTTCAATTTTGTATTTCATAGTGATAAAATATTGTCACTGAGGTAAATTCTTGATTTTGTAAGAAAAAAACTGTTTTAGATAAAGGCAGAAATCAAAATCTACAGTGTGAATGTTATTTTTTCAAGGGATTCAGAGGTCAGACAGATCTTAGAGAAGCTCCTCTATATCTCACATATATTTTCACACATTTCTAGAAATGTATGCCAGATAAATGTTTTGAAACCTTAAAATAATGCAACATAAGGATTTTAAGCATATAAAAAGGAAACTATGAACACTTAACAATGGCAAAAAGTGTCAAAATGCCTCTGTAAATTACAGAAATAATACAGTCTTTCTCCCTCAAATCCCTATGCCTAAGTCCTTAGAGCAGTCGCTGCTGACACATGATGTCAGTCTGTACCCTGGGACACACGAACAAAATGTTAGAACTTCCATTCATATTTTATCTTATACCTTAAAATTTTATATGTTTTGCTTTATAATATGATAATATTATAATAATATGTATGCATAATTTATAAACACACACACTTATATGAGGGTACATGCTGAAAATTATTTGACAGGGGTGCCTGATCAAAAAAGTTTGGAATGTCTGTAAGAGTGAAAAAACAGTTTCCCTTCTAAGAGCGGTTTTAGAAGAGCCAAGTTTCATCTTTTTCTTCATCTAAAATTTCTACTCAGATTTTAATTTGTGCTCTTTTGGGGGTGAAGTGTGTCTAATCACCTGCTCTGCCAAGTTTTTTATTTCACACATATGTAATAACCTCAAGCCACCATTAAATATTATGAAAAGCAGCAAAGTCAAAACAAAAAATACGCTAAGACAGTAAGCATTTAGTGGTACTCCCCTGTGCGTTTAGCACAAACTACATTCTGTGAGTAGGTGCAAAGAACATGCAATAGCTCTTCTCTCAAGAAATGCCCTACTCAGATGGGAAGGCACAAATGTGCCATTGTAACTGCCAGTGTCCCTGAAGAACTGGGGTAACTGGAGCCCCAAGAGACCACTCAAAGACTTCTGGAAAATCAAGAAGGAACACTGTTTGAAAGCCAGTCTCTTGACCTCTTAAACCCATGCTCTGGCTTCCGATAACGACAGATCCCTTCTGGCCACAGGCTGAGAGTCCAGCTCTGCCTAATCCCATCAGCCAAGAGAATCTTAAATTCAATTTTCTGACGTGAATATTATGTGAAAAATTTTGGTTACATATTCTAAATTAAAATTTAAATATACTCTTTTCAAAATGACACAGCCCCCACTCCCGAGATTCTAAAATATCTGTCAAAAAAGGCAAGCCTTTCCCAGACTGAGAAGCACCATTTCTCAGGGCAACAACTTAAGTTACACAATATACACTGACGAGTGTTGTCTCCGTCTCTGTTGAGTTACCTTCATTTAGAATTGACCTGCGAGACGGGAAACAAGGGAATGGGCGCTTACCCAGTGTTTTCTGGATATCATTCTTGGCTGGAAGTAAAGATCCCTTGGCATCTAAAAGCACTTCGGCCGTTTTTTTCAGTTTTTCTACAGCAACCTGCTGACTTGAAATCTGTCCTTGCAGAGCCTGGACGATTGAATACTTTGATTAGACTCAGTACAAGTAAATAATATATTTCGAATATAAAAAATTTATTTGCAGTAAGATAAACTGGACAGAGTAAACTTTCCATCATTATAAACTTACTCTAGTGTTCTTAGAATAATAAATATATATGAATAAATACACAGGGGCATTAGCAGAAACCTAAGTCTGTCAAGATTAATACATACTCAGTCTTGAAATGAACCCTTGAGCATATGTTCATAATTGCCTTGATTCCTGATCTTGCAACCCTCTACCCCTAGCCTGAGTTCCCCCTCCATCTCCACTTGCACGCTTCATTCAATACCCTCACTACCACCGGAAAACAAACAAATAAAAACCAAAACAACAAAAAACCTTTGGGACCATTTCTGACTCCAGGGAAGGAAATATTAAGGATTTTCACTTCAGTAGATCCTGACCCAATACTGACTCATATTCATTTCTGTTTATTCAACAAAAGTTACTTACTGTTTAACAAATTTAAAAAATCTTGCTATGTTTTGTGACAATATAAAAATCCAACAGATACGAGCTTACCCACAGGGAACTTAGAGTCTAGGGCTGGAAGTGCATGTGCCACAGGTGAGTAAGAAAAAGCGCCAGGAAGTTGAGAGGAGTTAACTGGGGACAGCAACGAGGGCCCCCTGGATGGTGGTGGCATTGAGGTGGGTCCTGAAGAAAATGTGGATTGGGGCACATGGCAGTGGAGAGGGAGACATTTCCCTGCTGAGCCGAAGGAGTAAAGACAGGGGTAGGACAGCACAGGAGAACGGGAGGGTCCCATCCAGTCTGAGAACGTGTGTGGGTGAATAAACAGTAATAGGACTGGAAAGGCCCCACATGTCAGGTTCAGGAGTTTCTATTTTATCCTGTATCAATCAGGAGTCACACAAGGCTTTGGAGTAAGGGGTTGACATGTTCAGAGCTGTTAAGCTGGTAGCACTGTGTGGGGTAAATTCAATGGGGAAGAAATGAAGCAGAGATACCAGCGATGGGCACCTTCAGCAGCAAGAAAGTAGGGAGGACCCGTCTGGGCCGGGAAAGTAGGGTTGGTTATGGAATCAGAAGAATCCATGGGAACTGACAGCTGGTTATCTAAAGCTGAGCCATCCAATTTGGCAGCCATTAACTACACGGGGCTTTTGAAATTTAAATTAATTCAAATAAAACACAATTAAAAATGAAATTATTCAGTTGTTCTAGCCACATGTTAAGTGCTGAGTAACCAGGTGTTACTAGTGCTTATCATGTTGGACAGAACAGATTCTAAAACATTTCCATCATCACAGAATGTTCTACTGGACAGCAGGTCTGAGAGCGCAGGAAAGACGAGAGGAGATGAGAAGCACCCAAGTCCGTAAGCCTATGCCATGACTGCAATACATATGCAAAAGTGGGAGCAAATTTAGGAGCAGAGGAAAGTCTGTCTGGGAATTCATGATTTCCAAGTGTTCTCAGGACCCTCATACAGAGAGAAAGACCAAAGCTTGAAACAGCAAAGACTCTGAACACAGGCTGGAACTGGACATACAGCAGTGGACGTCAAGCTCCACTGGTGAGACAGCTGGTGAGGACGCAGAGCGACACCAGAGGGGAGGCAGTAAGCAGCGTGGGAGTACTTGAATTTAGGTGATGGGGAGAGGACAGAGACAGAACGAAGGTAAGAGATGGGCGTGGGCCCAGAATACTGTCCCCAAAGTATGCAGGAAGAGAGGAAGTGGAGAAGCTTAACAGTGTCACTTGCTACGTAAAGGATAATGTGACCTTGACTTTGCTGACTAGAGGCCCCTGCATTTCTCTGAGTTGAGCAGATGCAGTTCAACAGTAAGAATGAGAAGAGAAGCAGGGGCAGGGATCACAGATGAGTCTCCAGAGCCGCCCTCTCTCTGTCCGGCGGGCTGACTGGCCGCACGGCACTATGCTTGGCTTTGATTTCCCTCGAGGGACTGGAGCTCCTTTCCTAGTCTTGCATTTGGGTTTCACACTCCAGTTCCTGTATGTCCACCTGTACATAAGCTCATCCCTGGCCGTGGAAAAAGGTGTCCAGCTGCCTCTTGAACCACCTCACCTCCAAACTCCAGATTCAGCTGAACCTGAATGTATGTATCATTTCCTTCCCCACACCTATACCTCCTCCTGAGACTGCACCTTGTTACCCTGAACTCTCCTCCTGAACTCTCTCAGGCCTCCTTTCTACTTACAAATTAACCTGATTAATATTTGTCTAAAACTGGACCTCTGTTCTGTTTTTTCTGGATCACTGCAGGATAATCTCTCACTCTATTGAGAAAGTATCCTAACTGTGCTCCTTGTTTCCAATCTCTTGCCTGATAAAGTTTCTCAGTGCCTTTTATCTAAAGTACATATCTGAGTATATCACTCCCATCTTTAAAATCTTTCAAGAGCTTTCCCCTGCTTTTATATTAAAGGCAAAAACTTGAACATGTTACAAAAGGTCCAGTGAAATTTATTCCATATTCCTATCCTCAATCTCATCTCTCTCCATCTCCTTTCAGAAACTTCAGCAACACAGCTGCTAGAAGCTATTTGCTCACACTAGACCCAACAGCTTAACATCTCTACACACCAAACTTCTCATGCAACCTGCCCGTCATCCTGACCCTGCTCTCACTCCCCCATTAATGTTCAGCTGGGAAGCCTTCCTAACTTTCTCCTCACCCCACAGAAGCTTCCATGAATACCTTGTGGATATTATTGGATTTGTCTTGTCTGTCAAACCGTAACCTCTTGGAAAACTAGAATTCATCCCACTCAGCTTTCTGTCATGATTACCTAGCACAGTGCCTGGCATGTATTAGGCCCTGACAGAAGTTTCTGGAATAAATGAGTGAATGAAAAAGTAAGTAAATCACGATATCAGGTATAAGATCTAAAAACACCTCTTCTCTTTCGCCTTCATTTCAAACTAAAGCAAATGCCTAACACCAATGGCAGAAAGTTCCTCAACCAATTTTCATACCCAAGAAATTGTGCTGACAAGCAGGCAGCGTGTATATGTGAAAAGGCCTATCAAACTATGGCCAAGCTGGGATCTGTGATTTGATCCCAGCAGGGATCCCAAGAGGCCAAAGAATGTGTCTGTTTAGGAAATTCTCCCAGAGGCTGAGGTACAGAAAGTTTCAGAAATTCCTCAAGACAGGAAATTTACCTAGAACCAGACTGAAAGATAAGCCACAGGGACAACTTATTCACACTACATGGTTTTTTAGGAGATGAAATAAGGTTAAGGGCATCTCCAAAAATGTATTTTTTGAGAATCTGAGTTTCCCCAAAGTCAGAGGCAGGGTTTTAGCATCTTTGGGTCATCACAAAACTTAAGAATAGGCCTAGCACATAAATGTCTACTAAATGAATAAATATATGTAAAAATTACCATGCTACTACAAAAACACCCAATACCAAAGCCCTACCTACCATCTTAAAACTTAGTAATGGATTACAAAACAAATATCTCTTCCTCACCTCTTCTCTTTGAAACATCTGTGAAGGAAACATCTGTGACTGGGAATATCACAAGATTATGACTCTGATCTCCTTGCACCAGAAAAGGGCAAAGTTTGTAAGCCTAGAAGGTGGACACTGTCAGCCATCATGACCTAGCCCCAGGTCTCTAGACTGGCTGCAAAATCCTATCTCTTTCTGTACTGCAAAGGTAGCTAAAATCTTGTTTTGTCTACCGATTCCCGTGGAAACAGAGCTCAAGAGTGTCACTATAGCTTAGTGGTATCCGACTGTTGACAACACAGATAAGTTTTCAGAATAATAATACTAACAGCAATGTGCTCTTAGAAGTATTTCACATGAACCAACTGGGACCCCCAAAATTACATTTATTATACAATAGAATATAAGTTAGCAGACAGAATTGATTTTTTAATAGCCTTATGTATCTGTATTATTGTTAAGGAAAAATAATTTGTAAATGTTGCTAATAAAAATGAAAGAAATGGAGACTGCCTAAATCCTCATAGTAATTCATCCTCACTACATGTTGAGATCATCTGTGAAGAAAATACGTATGTATGCCAAGAACAACTTTAATTACACATTTAACTTTTTAAATTATGCTGTGGCTTAATTAGAATTCATTCTCGTTTGAGACAACGCTCTCCTTTTTAGTACTTCTTTGGCTGAATTAGGACTAGAAGTGTATGCTTTCACAGTATATACCAAGTAAATTTGCTCTATTCCAGAATTAATCCCTGTATCTACTTCATTTAAAAGCCATAGCATTCTTTTTTGAGTTTTTTTTTTGTTGTTCTAGTTAAAAATTACTTTTATACAGTTTCCTAATATAGACCCAACTTAAAATGTGTTATATCTGTTTTACATACTTTCCTATACTCAAAATACCCAACTTCCTAATAAAATGAAATACAGGCAATCTTAGTATTTATTTTAAGCTGTTGGCATTTCCTAGCAAAATAATGGTCTTTTATGTCACAGCATCTCCTCAGCCCTTACCACATATACTGTCCCTGAACGAGTGATCAAATGGGACCTGAAAACTTATGACAGACCTGATCTTGTGCTTGTGGGAAAGAAAGGGAAAAAAGGTGGGGGGGAAAGCGGGCTCAGCAACGCATATTCAAAGGAACCCGAGAGGCCACGTCACTGCGTGGCTGACCCGGCTCGGGACGCCTCCCGACTGCCCAGTGTGAGGCCAGGTAAGCCAGAGCCACAGCGCCCTCCACCCTGCTCGCTGCCCCGGCCCAGCCCTCCCTCCTCTCACCCGATGCTTCTGCCCCAGCTGCCCCTCTCCCTCTCTCTACGTCGGCTTTAACCTGCCACGTTTCACCCCAGTGTCTGACTGAGCTTTCTTCCAGGCTGAAGCTGCCCAGCTCAGGCTAGACGTACCAGTGAGCCTGCTCAGCAGGGTGAGCCAGGGACTGCAGGGCCAGCACTAGTGGGTGCAGCTTCCCCTGTCAGTAGCACAATAGAGGCTTCTGACCCTGTAACGGACAGAGGCGGCTGCAAGGCTGCAAGGCAGTAGTTGAACTGGCAATACAGTGTTTGCTTTTGAGCTCTGGCAGCAACAATGCTACCTATCTGCTAAAAGAAATCACAGGAAACATTTCTGAAATGAAACTTTCAAATTCAAAATTATCGGTCATATGGAATAAGAATAAAATATCTCAAAAATTTTCTCCCCTCCCATGAGGATTTTAAAATATGCTTTAAATTAAGATACAAACATGCTCTCTGCCACTGCACGTATGGCTGCGACTGCCAAAATTATGCGATTTCCACATTAAGCCTTAATTTTTGAAAGAACAGGTAGACTTTTTGGGACCTGTGCCAGGTGATAACTGAAGTCTGTGCCTCTAAGAATCATGGGGATTCTTAATAGGACAGCAGTCCTGGTCCTCAGACCCCCAATGTGACAGAAGCATCCCTCGTGCTCTGCCACCTGTTCACTTGTGAACTTGTATTTACAGCGTACCTACTCTGGGCCAGACACTGTGTGGAGAGATAGAAATGAGCAGAGAGAAAAACACCAGCCCTCATGGAGCTTAATTCTAATGGAGGAAAAAGGCAATGAACAGAATAAATAAATATAAATAAAAATAAGTGTCCTGGGCGATTGGTTTGGTTTGGGAAGTTACATGGGATACAAGCCATAACAGTGGTGTCGAACTAGTTAGACAACAATGGAAAAACCAGTTTCATCAGAAAGAGAAGTGAATGGACTACAGAGAAGTTGAGCTGTAACTCCCTGTGGAAAGGCAAGCATATGCTTCCATCCTCTGTCCCTCTTTCCCTGGGTAAAACGAGCACGAAAGACTGGGAAAGTGGACGGATTTTGGTAAGACTACTGAAGGGCTGGATCTCTCTTTTTTCTTTCTTACCTTGGCCTCTTCTAGCTGCCTCTGCAGATTTTTAGGGTCCACAGCAATGGGCTCGGACAAGTGTTTGTTTGCTGTGACTTCACAGGCCTCGAGCCCAGAAAGAAGGCCACACAAAGCATCTTTGTAGTGTTGATATTTATCCACCAGGTCTTTCAGATTATTCCCAAGAATATTGCACTAAAAAAGCAAGAGAAAAAATGTGGGGGGTTAAAATGCACTATTTTTATGTGTGTTTTAAAAAACCTTGGGACCTAGAAGTTATGTAACTTGAAAAACACCAGAGTTCAACCAAAGTTAATGAAAACTGTAAGACTAACATGTTTTTTCTTTTGTGTGAAGACGCATCCTCTAACAAGTCAAAAGGTTAGCCATAAAAATGAAAAGACAGTCCTAAATTTATACCAATTCAAAAACATATTTACCAGGGCTGAGACTTAACCCATTATAAAGTATTTAGCTGTCAATCACCAGAGGCTGACCTATCAAGGCACATTCCCACTTAGCTTGATATGCTGGGTAAACACATTTGATGGGCATTTGATGAAAAGGTTTTCAAGATGCTTAATATATGATTTCCATGTGTTATACAAGATTGATTTTGCACAAGGAGGACAAATAACCACGTTAGAATGAAGCAAAAAGGCCAAGAGTCAATGACGCTCTTCAAATCGTCTATTCAACTTGGTCAGTCTGCTCAGCTTATACTTGTAACAGGGAAATGTTATCTTAGTTTTGTTTTGTATTTAAACAAAACCCTTCACTTATGCACAAGAATAAGAGAAGCTGAAACAGTTTGTCAGCCGCTGGGTATTACAATAATGCACTGAATGAAAATATCTGTAAAATAAAACAAATATATATAGTATTTGTGAAGGGAATTATCCGAAATGAAACTTTAGTTCTCCAGCCTGAGAGGCTGCAAATTAGCAGGCCACTCTTGGCTTAGAGCCGAAATGTAAGCGCCATCTTGTGGCCAAAGTGGACATTAGCGGGCTTTAGTGAGGGCAGCCTGGAAATCACTCTCAAAATCAACTTTAGGTTCCTGATCTTTAAACACATTTGCAGAAATAAAGCAGGTAAAAAAGACAGAGAAATATGATAAAACTTCCTTGTTTTCTCAGCTTCAGCTTTTGGGTTTTTTGCCTCTAATTTCAAAACAAAAATTAAGAGGACAAAGTGAAAACTATCATTAAAAACTAATTTCCCCTTAAAAACTAAAATAAAATTACCTTAGAGTAGAGAGACTTGAACCGATCGGTAGCATGATCCAGTTTGTTCTGGACCTCTCTGTGGGCTGCAGAGGTGTTGATGCCCTCCTGGTCGGCCACGCCACTGCCATCTGTCTTGCTGCACGATTTGGCTGCTTCTAACACTCTGTTTCCAGAAATGGTGATGTACCGCAAGTCGCCTTTGTGGGAAATCACGTCTTCGGAGAAGCTCTTCTGCCTCTTCAATTTGGTCAGTAAGCCGCTGAAGTCGTCTGCACCTGCTTGCAGATTTTCAAGTTCTTGTTCTGCCTGTTGCAGCCAGTGCTCAAATTCACTGTAATCAGCATCGAAATTTTCTAACTCCTCCTGCAGAGAATGCGTTAACTTCATCTTCTTCTCCGACTTGGCCAGGGCGGTTTCATACTGCACTTTCAGCTCGTGCATGTTCTTCTGTAGTTTCTCTTTCTCCTCCGGAGAGAGACAGTGGCCCTGTTTCTCAAGCAAGGCTTGCGCAGACTGGGCGGCCATGAGGACGGCTTGATGCTGAGAGATGATCTTCTCATGTCGGGCCTACAGGAGCACAAAGCCACGTGAAAGCAGGATGGCGCCACACCCTGACGCCTCAGACTGACAGTCTCATTAACCTTCTCAAGGAGCAGAGCATTTCCCTCTTACTAGTGAATTTCAGAAGAGCAAACTCTGAGCACACTAATCCTATTTTTAAGGAGATTTCCATCTTCTCCAGAAAGTACTTAATCACACAGGACAAATCCTGTTTTTGAGAATTTTGGAAAAAATGTAAATTTCTCTTCCTATCCTAAATCATTTTAGAATCTAAAATCTCAATCTCATGTTACTATTGCACCCTCACAACCACCCTAAAGGAATTGCTGATGTCTCCCCCTAACTAGCAAGTAAGTAACAATAGTTTTATTAGGAAATGATCTTGAAAAGACATTTAAACGGGAAAAACAGAATTTGTTAATTTTAAAGCTATAAAAAAGCACTATGACAATAATTAAGCAAGAACAACATACATTCAGAGAAGCGCAGTAAAAATTAGAGGAGTATATACAGTAAAAGAAAGTACTGGGGCGACCAGGTTTCTCCAAGGTCCCGGCTTTCCACATATGGAAAATGAAGACAGTAACCTCTACCCATTATAAGTTTGCTGAAAGGACCACATGAGAGCATGTATGTAGAACACTTACTGGAGAATCTGGCATGTGCCAGGGATTAAAATCCACCCAGAAGGCAAAGGACAGGGCTTCTGGCAGATGTGCTGTGCAAACAGGCCACAGGTGTGCAGGGCTATCGATCACCTTGGCCTTCAGGGCAGCTTTAGGGTGGGCCTTAGGCAGCAGGAGTCCCTTCTCTCTACTCATGGCAGCTTTTTCCATTCACCCCAGTATGCCATACAAATATGGCAAAAAGGATAATAATCTTTTGGGCCATTTTTCACATCTAAGGCCCACATGGGCCAGACGACATGGTCACCTTACCTCAGAGTTCCTTCCATGACCCGGTCCTCTTCCACACCACCCCAGGCAGTCAGCCTCTCCACCCACCACCCTAACCCCACCTTGTCAGGCACTTTAGGACTTTCTTCTACAATTGTTCTTATCTGGCAACAGCCCTTCCCTCAGATATCTGCTAAGAAACCCCCATCTACTCTAAATCTTTGCACAAACCTCCGTGTGGCCTACTGGAATGTTCCTACTGAACACTGAAAAGTGGCCCCGAGTCCCACACTCACCCACCTGTACCCAGTCCATTTACTTCTCTAAGCAAAAAGTTGCTACCTTCTAACATTCCAAATCCCATAGAATTTAGGCATTTATCACCCTATCATCCTCGCCCTCCTAGTGTGCAGACACCGTGACAGGGAATTCATTTTGCTCACTGGGGAATCTCAAGAACCCAGAACAGTGCTGGCACACAGGGGCAAAATAAGAATAATACATGTATTCTATGGCGTTAATAGAATTGAGAAGCACAGCTGTGGATCACTTACAAGGTCTGATCCCAAATAGCAGAGAAGAGACTCATTATTAATATTCATATCCTCATGACCTGCAATGCCTGCCACACCTTGGGCACATGAGAAATATTTTTGTCTAAATAACTTTTCTCCCAAAGATTGTATCTTTGGTACTTGAATTATATTTATATACTACCTGCCAGGAGGCCTTTTGCACACAGGCTGGATAGACACATAAACACCTTATAAGTTATCTGGTCCACCCCTTCCTGTTACAGATGATGAATCCAAGCTGAAGGAAGAGGATGACTTGGCCCAGAACATACGGCGCAGCTGGAGAGAGCCACAAACAGAGCCTGGTCACACTCCGCTATCCCCCCAGCCCACCAGGGGATTGGGCGTTTCTGAAGCACTTTTGGAGTCCCATATTTTTAGAACTGAGAATATCAGAAGGCAGATGTCACATAGTGGCTTTCCTGCGAGGCATCGTCATGTTTGAGTCCACCCACTGGTCTCTTCTACTTGGGTCAAGTCACTAACCTTCCCCGACTTCTTTCTAACTGACTCATAAGGTTCCTTTAGGAACTTATTAGATTTTTCATTTTAAGAGATAAATACAATAAATGTTTTGTAATAGTCTCTTGAAAGTATATAGAGTAAATACTTCCATTCTTCCGGTTTAATTTTTTCTGTAACATAAAAACTTCACAGACAGCCTTCTATTCCAAAGACTCCAAAGACAAAGACTTGGAGGAAAACACAGAGAACTGGAAAAGTAAAGTCCAGTCATCTGACTACCAAATACCAAATGCAGAAACAGAATTATCAATTACGTGACACTTTAAGATGGCTTTTCAAAGTTGCCTGTGCTCCCGTCAGAGCATTAATGTCAGCTTTAGTCTCCATCGCACTGTGACTTTTAGAAGGGCTCTCATTCCTCCTCTCAACCATGGCCGTCACTGGGGAGATGAACTCAGAGCTCATCAGAGAGGAGCAGAGGCTCAGAGGGAGCCGGAGCGAGCTGAGACGGCCCCGCACGCTGGTCTGGAACATGGATTTGAATGTAGCACAGTGACTGAGCTCAAGGCCTAGCTTTAAATCCAAACTCCATCCCTTCTAGATGTTTAACCTTGAGCAAGTTACTTCACTTCTGTAAGTTACCGTTTCCCATTTTCTCTGTAACGTGATCATTATAACCTCAGAGAGAGTTGGGAGAACCAAATGAGTTTAACACGGAAGCGCTTGGAAAATGCGGGGCCCACTGTAGTTTCTCTATAAATATTTGCTATTATTACTATTTCTATGAATTCCTTATAACCCTGCCTCACTTATAAGAATGCCATGTTTGTTGAACAATTTATTTCCCATGATTTTTGATCTGCTTAGTATTCTCATCTTCCATTTGACAATTTATATTTAACATAATGATAAATCTAGTAAAAAAAAGACTTTACTCTCAAAAGTCATTAAGGTTTAAAAAGATAACTCTGTGCTTAGTTCCCATTGTTACAGACCTGAAAATAGAATTTAACTATATCACTGTGTTTAAAGCAACAAACCTTCACTTTCTGGTATTGCTGGTTCAGATTATCCTCAGTGGTTCCAACTGGCACGTCAACATCAGTTTCCAACAGGTTACCGTTAACTTCACCCTCTTCTCCAATCACCAACTTGCTGTCACCTTCTTGAAAATGAGTCCCGTTCTGCTCGATGACCTGTTTCTGCTCCATCCCGGCCCTTTCTGAGTCTCTGTCAACATTTGACAGCCAGTCCAGAAGGTCTTCTATCTTGGTTTTACTCTCTTCCAGCTGCTTCACAGCCGCAACCTGGGCAGGGGGAGTTCACAGTAGGTATTCCGAACACAGGATGAGGCATTCAGGACATTCCAAAAGATCCCTTAAATTAGAGTGGACGTAACCGACAACTACGCACACTGACAGCTGAACCCAATGAAACTGAACCTTAGAGCCACAGTTACTGTGAAGTTTCCACTGTTCTTAAAAATATATCCTGAAATTTTAACTGTAATTGAATGGGTCCTCCCATATTTCACAAGTAGAAAGGTTCACAATCCCACTGCAGTTTTTTGTTGTTTTTTTTTAAGTTAAGCAAAGCCAGTGCTTTAAACTTTTTGCAGTATCCAGTCAGTTAAATACCCGGAAACCTAAAATTCCAGTTCCTGGTGCTAATCATTGCCCACTACTGCCTGATACCACTTACTAGATCAGGGAGTTGTTACACTAATCATTTTCACAAAGCAACAGGGTACCATGTATTTGAATAAGGACCTTTTCAGTTTCTTCTTTAATTGCTGTTGTCACAACTTTATCCAGTTCCTTTTTCGACTGTTCTGCCTTTAAATTAAGCTGTTCACACTTCATCTTGGCTTCACTGAGTTTCTGCTCAATCAAAGCTTTCTCTTCTCGTGACAGCTTTTCACCATTCTCTTTTAAGAAGTTCTCCGTGTTCTTCACTACTTCTGCCAGCGCCAGTGCACTGCCCTGGATATCTTTCTGTAATTCCTTGTAAAACACACACACAAAACAAATCATATTATCACTGACTTAATTCTTCCAGAATTGTGATCCTAAAAGAAGGCATGAGCAGAGAAGGAGAATCTATAGGTTGAAAATGCATATTCAATGTTTATTGGAGTTGGCTTGTTTATATCACAATATTTAATATAATTTGAAATTTCAATAGCATTAAAGAACAGTATGAGATTTTCATGTTTAACAAAGGGATATGCCTGGTAAAACACTGAAAATAATGAAGCATTCAATGTATAATCCATGCAAGTTTATACACACCAGATTTTTTTATGTTATATAAACACATTTACAAGAGCTTTTAAACACATGGTAATATTATTTAGTCTGTTCCTAAGCATTTATTTTTTAATGTACATCTGTTACTTAGGATAAAAACAAAATAGTTCTCCCAGTGAACTAATATACTTTCTTCTTCTAAACACCAGAGCTCTTTAATGTTTGCTTCTTTGCCCCCGCTTCTAGGAAGCTCAAAATTTGAATCTATCTTCAGCAGTTATAGCTCTCCTCTGTCTAGATTTCTCTCTGTAATTTTTCCTCTTCTCTCCCATATTTACTTTGTATTTTCATTCTCTACATTGCACTGTGCTTGCCATTTCATACTATTTTTCCATGCTTTCATTTTAAGCCACTTCCCATTTTTCTGAAAAGTTTTTGAATTGGAAGAGAAGAGCTCCAATTTACTGAGCCACTGCAATGTGACCTTAACTGTGTTAGTCATTTAACACACAGCATTTACTAAATTCTTACAATCAATGCAAGCATGACCAGTGAGGAAACTGAGGCTACAAAAGACTGTTATAAAGCTAACAATGTGTCAAGTCTGGGATTTGAACCAAGAGCTGCCTAGTTACAATGAGAATGTTCTTTCTTCTGACACCAAAATAAAAATATCTCTATCTGTTATTATTGTTTGTTTACTTCAGGGAAAAGGAAGAGACTGTAGATAAAGACGAAATGAGCAAGAAGGAACTAAGAGAAAGAACCCTAACTGATGTCTATTTTACCTAATTTGCAGATGAGTGGGTTGGCCTTAAATGGACCCAAGTTTGAACTCATCACACAGGTCACTTCCATTACCAAACCTCCTTTACATCTCCCCCACTCAGTATTTCACACAAAACCAGACAAGAAAATGACCTGGCTTGCATGAAGTTAGAAATATAACTTAACTTTGTAGAAAGCTGAGAGCTCAGGTCTGGAGGAATCTAAATATGCCTTGCCTCAGTAAAGCTAAAATGATGGCTTTTTTTTCAATAATCCTAATTGCTTTCTGAACAATGGCAATCAAGTTTAATGATGAAATGTAATCAAAATTAGTATCAATTATTAATATCAAAGTTAGTAATCAAACTGCTGATGCAAAACCAAATTTTACCTCTTGCTTGGACTGGTACTTCTTTAACTCAACTGTGCCATCTCCAATCACGAAGGCTTCTCGGTGACCAATCAGGTGGTTTTCAGTCTGGGTGAGGAGATCACATATCCCCTGGAGCCTCTCTCTGTACTCCTGCTGACGCTCTGCCATGACCTGAAGTGGACCCAAACCAAAAGCATCTGAAATGTGTGGCCATAAACTTCCTGTTGTTGACAGCTCCCTATTAGAATACATTTTGCAAGTTCTAGATGTAAAATTAGAACACAATTTTTTAAGCTTTTCTAAGTATGCTGTAAACATGATAGCAGTGGGATACAGACTGAGCGACGTGATACAGAAAGTAAGAGCATGTCCCATATGCAAGGAAGAAGACCATGTTTGGATGAAACTACTCAAAAGAATACTGGCCATGCATGTCTAAGAGATGGAACTTCTGACCGACAGGAAGAAACATTCCATTTTCTTAAGTTCTTGAAACCTGTGACACAAACAATTCTGCAAAAGGACATCAAAATAGCAGTTAGTCGTAATGTGTCTATTAACATATTTGATATGTGTATATAGGTTATCATACTAGAAACAATGCCTGGGTGCATCAAGAAATAATAACAGGTGCACAGCATGTGATATTTTTACTTAAGCACTAAGTCTAATTCCAGTCCCACCCCTTTAAGTTTAAGTTGTTTCTTCAAAGCTTCTAGATTCTTATCCAGAGAACCCTGGTTATCTAAGGGGGCTTCATATCTTGAAGTAAAACCAAATACTCATGGACTTTTGATGTGTGTTATAAACACTGCTGTAGCTCACTGGAAAACTAAATAAAAATTTGGAAATTTTAATTCAATAGCCTTTATGCAGATTTTTAAAGTAAATAAAATGTATGGGTTTATTCTTAAACATTTCATGCAGCTACTGCCATATAAAATGTAAAGTCAACTTACTTGTTCCATTGAGCTACTTCCAGAAGTCATTCCTTTTGACCCTGAAAAACATTCCAGATGGTTTGGGAAATAATTGTGCAATGCCTCTGGCTTCTCATCTCTTGGCAAGGCTGATGCACACACAGTGGAATTTTCTTGTCCAATTTCTTTTACATTTTGTAAATTAGAGGAACAATGGTTTCCTTCTTTGCTTTTAAGATCATCAAGAATGTGTGGCTTTTCACCCACCGTATCAGAAGCAGCAGATGATTTTTGATTCAGGTCTCCAACCTGTTGTACTTGCTCTGAATACGCATCAGCTAGCAGCTTGTAGAAAATATGTTCAAGTTGCAGTGAAAGAACTTTAGATGGGATAGCTCTTTTCTCTAAGTTACACCCTATCTGAGTTACTTCTCTTATCAGTTCAAAGGCTCCCATAATTTTTTGGCTATCCTGATTTTGCTTAAGTATATCAAGGAGAAGCTCAGACTTTAGACTTGAAATACAGAATGCATCATCTCTATACTTTTCTTTAAGGTCTGGTGAGTTATTCATGGGGGAAATTTCAGAACAGTCACCAATCTTAGAGTCACTAGGTACTTTAGATGCTTCATTTATTGTCTGTGATGTGCTAACTCTTTTCACTAAGTTTTGAATTAAAATTTTAATGTCTGCACAGGTTGAAGTTTCTCCAGCCTCTTGAGGATTCACATGGCCATCTTTCAATCTACTTCTAAAAATATCCTTTACATCCTCAATGAATACCTGAGGTAATTCAGGAACCCGAACCTCCTTTTCTTGGAGTCCTGGAGACAAGGCTTCTTCTTTGAGTGGCGCTTGCTCCATTCTTCCTTTCTTATTGATACAGGAGTTACCATTTCTTTTTCCATTTGTAGAGATGTCTGACTGAACAAAATCATTATTTTTCCCAAGACCTTCCACATTACTGAGAGGTAAGACTAATAGAGGGCTTTCATCTCTTTCTGGTGTGAGCTCAGGAACTTCTGTTTCTTCTTCTGAGATACTTTCTTTTGTACAAAGATCATTCCACTGCACCGTCTCATGTAGAGATGAGACTTTGTGGGTAAGTGCTGTCTTCTCTATTGTATCACTGACTTCGAACTGTAAGTGCGCTCCCATGGGAGGGGAAGCTGCTAGAATACAGCTTGGGCTATCTTCCTTTGGTTTCAGAACATCTTTTGCTTTTACACTTTTAGCACAATGCTTCAAATAAGTAAACAGATCAAGCTCTTTCTCAGGCCTGTCAGTGAGTGAATCTTTCTCAACAGTTTGAGTCCCTTCAGACAACATAACGTCTGAGCTCATGTCGTCACTGATCACTTTGGAAATTGATGCGTCAAATATTTCTTCAAGATTCTCAAACTGAACAGGACTTTCATTAACCATTGTTTGTAGATTCTTCTGTTCATCTTTAAGAGTCATGGTTGCTTTTTTAAGGTTTCCTTTCTGATTCTGTTCTTCCTTGTTTGTAATGGGTAGATATGGAAACTGACTATTAGCTGAATCAAGACTCTCCCTTTTACTTTTACAAGGCAAAAGTTTCAAATATTTATCATCTACAAGACCTTCCATAAGCACTTTTTCATTAGAGCACGTTTCATGAATTGATGTTTCATCTTCTATTAACACATTATTGTCATCTTTCTTGTTAATTACATCTCTTCCATGTCCTTGATGACCTTTGTTGGTTACAACGGCTGTGGGTGACAAATGGCTTTCCTCAGAAGGTTTTCCTTCTAAGTCGGGCTCAGGACAAATGGTTTCATCAAAGGATGAGTCAACCCGAAACATTACATTCTCAAAATATTGACCTCCATCTTTCACAGAGTCAGTAGATTCCAGCCCTTCAATCAATTTAAACTTCACGTTCATTAGATCATTATCTAACTCAGAAGTTGAACAGACATTAGTATTATGTAAAATATTTACAGGGCCAAAGATGTTTTCTGATTCAGTGTCTTTAATGACAGGCAGCAATATATTCTTAAAGAGCATCTCACAACTCGACAGATCTTTGCTTTTCCTAACAACCTCCACTGTATATTCTGGAAGGCTGCTTCTTTCGGGAACTAAGCTACTTTTACTAGTTGATTCTAGCTGTAAAACATTCACACCTTGCTGGTTCTCTAAGGAATTATAATTATGCATTTTATCCAGGAGAAACATTTTATTAATACTTTGATTTTCATGACTGCTTCTGTTTTCCTTTACAGTGGTGGCACACGATGGGTTATCTGTGTCTTCAGCCTCATCTTGGCATGTGGGCTTTTCATTCTCACCTTCTATTCCTTCATCACTGCCATCGTTGTCAAAATTGTGGTCATCATCCTGATCATTACTGTCACATGTGTAACCCCCACAAAGTTCTTCATTTTGCATAGAGTCTAAATGACCAGTGTCAAATTTAAATTCTTGTCCAGTTCCATACTCTTCCTTTCTCTCCCTCCAACACCCAGTGTCATCGAATTTTAACGGAGCACTGATGCTCTCTTTACTTCCTACAATTCCATAATCAGTCAAGGAGTCAGACTCATCCCCTTCAAGGTTATTCATACTTTCCCTTTCCGATCCACTTTCCAGCAACTGCCCATTTACCTTGTATGAGTTACCTGAATGTAAACGTATTCTTTCACCAGGATCTAACTCCACTTTCTCAAAATCTAAGAAAAAATCCTGAGCAGACTGCACTTCTCTCTTCATGCTTAAGCGATCAACTAATCCCTCCTGGGTCATTGCCGGGTTTTCATTCTCTTTTGGAGCATCATAACATATATCACCAGGAGGAGCCACCCCCTCATTTTCCTCCTGCAGGGTATCATAGTCCTCAGGCTGCAGACAGTCACAGTCGTCAGCTTCCAGGAGCAGAGAATCATGGTCATCATCTTCAAACAAGGGGGTATCATAAAAATCGTCATCACTCTCGGTGTCTGTTTCTGAGACCCTCTGCTGATCATCCAGTAGCGATGTTTCATAGTCACCAGCGCTGATGGTTTCTTCACACAAGGGTGCACCACAGACGTGAGATGTATTGTCGCTATGGCCCTTTGAAGTCACAGCAAAGGTGTACTCTTCCACTTTGGACTCACTCTGCTCGTCTGCAGGTTTCTTTGAGGAAACAGCATGCATTTTTTCATCCTCACCATAAGTATCTGAAATACATTTATCATTGTGATACTGTACCTGACAAGCGCTAGTACCAATATTTACAGATTTCTGTTGAGAGGGTTCTCCCTGTAAACTGATGCTGATAGCTGCAATTCCCAGAAACTGGTCTTGAAATGTTTCTCCCACTCTTTGGCCTAACAACATGGTTTGGTCATGAGGGGCTTCACATTTATTTCCATGGTTCTCTGTGGTGTGAACATCGTTACCACTTCCCTGATCATTCCTCAATTTATCATGACTTAACAAGGCACTTAGCCTGGGGGAATAGTCAAAGATAGCTGAATCCTTGCTCATATTATCTTCCTTCTCTGTTTCATTCAAATCACAGATTCTACTAGTTTTTGATTTCACAATAGGATTTATTATCAAATCACTTGCAAAGTTTTGAATGTTTTTAGAATGACTACATCCATCTGCATGTTCATTTGTTTCAACCTGGCTCTGATTTTTATACTTTTCAAGTATGTGTTCAGGGTCTTGTCTAAGCATACTCACTTCTGCAAGTCCAGACCCTGTTAGATATGATACAGGATTGGGTACACACACATTGGATGAATTCTTAACTTTATTATCAGTTATCACTACATTCGCCAGGTCTTCTGACGGATGAAGTTCATTTCTGGTGGCATTATTTCCCATTTCATTTAACTCTTCATCTATGGCATGGTTTCTATTTTCAGGGATTTCTTTAGGTTCTTTGCAATGATATTTATCAAAACTATTTGGTGAAGTTGTGCTTTCATCCTTTTCTGTACCTGAAGCATTGCTCAGAAATACACCAGGGAGTCTTAAGACATCAAGACGTTCTTTCACGGGCAAGTCCTCACCACGTCCTGTGCTACAGCCTTCCAGGAGCTCAGCAACGGCTTCGTTCAAGTCTCCATCATACAGTAAAAGCCTCTGCCCTGTGTTTGCATCCATATAGCTATTTATCATCAAATAAGACAGGAATAATAGTTTAGTTTGTTCTGAGCTCGGAGTTGTCACTGGCTCTTCTCCATCAGAAACATCCTCTTCTTGCCTGTAATCATCGACTGGAAATGGATGGAATTTACAAAAAAAGAGCCATCCTCTGGCATTTTTACAAGCTTCTAAATCTTCCAACTCTGGCATTTTATCAGGCAGGATTATACTTTTTAAAATCGATGCCGTGTTGTTATCTATAATTCCAAGCTGCTTAGCAACATCCAAATCAATGACTTGAGAAGTTTCTGGAATATAAAGGGCAGCTATCTTCTGCCTGCCATTCAGGATTTTGTAGGCCAATTCATTTGTAATCAATCCTTGCTGCAAGATAAAAGATGTGGGAAATATTTCACCAGAGTGTGGCCAAATGAGTCCGACATAGCCTCGCTGAGCCTCCAGCACCAGCAGAGCGCTGCTAGAAGTTATTAAATCACACTGGACTGCTTCATCTACAGTTAAACGTTTGGCAGGGTTGGAGTGGATGATTCCACCCGTTCGAACTTGATACATGAGAATACTATGAGCAGTGTCTCTGTCAATCACCCCTTCTGCCACAGCTTCTTCGACAGTCATTCTCTGACCAGAGTTGCAGGCGATCAGACCTCCAGAGAGAAGCTGTGCACCTAATAACCTAAACATGGTTTCACGGTCTATGAGACCTTCATGAGCAGCCCTTAAAATGCTTATTTTTCTTCCACATTTTAATGTTATTCTGCCTCCTTCTTGCGGTCTCACAGGTAGAAGCCGCAGCCCAGTGTTCTCCTGTAAGATACTTCTTTGTAGAATGTCTACTAAAGACACCTTCTCAGAGGTGCAGGGGTCAATAAGATCTTTACACATATTTTGCCTTTCCAGGACTTTAGAAAATAATGCTGAGGACAGCCAGTACTGTTGGAAGGCCTTCTGCAGGGTCAGCTGCTCTCCTGTGGCTGGCACAACTAGAAAGCCCGTGGAAACCAGAATCTCAAGTACCCGGATGGCCATGGGTTCTGATAGCCTGCCTTGAGCCAGAGCATCTAGCACTGGAATGGTGGGGGATGACACAGCAGAAATAATCTCCTTTGCTTGGTTTAATTCTTCGAGTTGGCACAGAACTTGCTCATCAATAAGGCCATGGTGTTTGGCTTCTTTGAGGTCAAAGCATTTTCTTAATTCTGGTGAAATTAGACCAGAAATCATTAGCTGTGTCTCAAGCAACCTGATTCCTGTGTCATAGTCAATAAGGCCTTTTAAAACTGCCTGAAAGACTGAAAGGACTTCTCCAGTTTTCTGATCAATGGTGCCTGCAATCACTTTATCCAGCTGAAAGGAAAATACAAAAGTCCCAGGTCAGTCTGTGACACAACGGTGGGCAGTTTCATGAAACATAGTTTGCATTTTTTAATATGGAATACTCTTCAACATAGAAATCCTCTACTTACCAAGGCGCAGCAATGCTGTGAATATTAGGTAGCTCAAATGCACAAGTGATCTATGTCAGTGATCTATTCAACAGGATAGGATATGATAAAAGCTTTGAAAACAACATGCATCTGTGAATTGAAAATTTAATTCTGTGTACATTAAAAAGGTTAGTGAGGACATAATAGAGTAGATGATGATAGTGAGAAAACAGAACACACCTAGAAGCAAATCATGCTTTCTGCACCCGGGAGGGATTAGTCTACTGACATGGAAGAGTGTCAGTCCCCATGCTATTCATGTTTACAGCATACAGACCGCTTCACAGTCAAAAACTAACAGGCCAGAAAAGTTGTTGCATATCCCCAAAATGCGACAAATTGTGTGCCAAGTAAGAGAATTGAATACATAAAGATAACTTTTTCATACTGAACATTGTGTTGAATATTATGAGTTTGTATGGTCAGGTTTTAAAAGCTTAAGGACAGGCTGAACTTTAAATAATTTCTGCTCTATTTTAAGAAGATGCTAGGGCATCCTCACTGTAACATAGGGTGCAGTATCACTCAAATCTCACGGCTACCTCTGAAAATCAAATAAATCCTGTAACACTCCATTGCCACCTTTAGAGATGATTAAAACATCACATTTATATGGTAAAATACCTAACAGAGCAGCAGAAGAATGGCTTTTAAAGAGAAGAGTTAGAAAAATGAATGATTCTTTTCTTTTACCATGCAAGGCAGAGATTAAAAGGTCATAGAAACTGATGACAGCAAGTGTAAGATTGCATTTAATAAACAACACTGAAATCTCTACGTAAACACACTCCGTCCAGTTCAATGCAAGATCATTTATCATTGACATATATTTCTACAATCATGCAGTAAAACTAAGAATCTTGAAGCAGCTTCATGTTTTAAATAAATAATATTACCTTCTCCTCTACCTTTGTATCTCTTAAGCTTTGTGATTCTTGTAGTTGTTTCAGAGATTCACTAAAGAATAAATTATAACTTTCTTGAAGAGTTTTCACTTGTTTTTCCAGTTCATTCCTTTCTTCTTCTGTCATTCTAAAATAACCAGAAAGTATGAGAAGAGGAATGCAAGTCTTCAAATGATAAAGATGATACTAGGCTCAATGATTCTGCTAAGTAGAAGGCTTTTCTAAAAAGCACATGGTCATAAAATAAAATGTAACCTCATATACAGATCTCTCAAGTCTCAGAGTGACTTTATATGAAAATTCAGGATGTCCCTAATCATCTAAGAATCCTTCTCTTGTGTGAGAAAGAGGCTGAAGGAAAGGTTATAAACTAATACATCAGCATTTCTGTAGCATATACAAATTTCTAAAATAGCCAGGTGCTGTTATCTGACAGAAGGAAAAATCCCACTGTTAGTCCCAACATGGAAAAGTGACGGAAAGGTACCATTACTCAAGATGAAACTTGTTCAAGCTGCAGGAGGAATGAAGAGGAAACTCCCAAAGAAATTAATGTCATTTTGGAATAATCCTAGAGGAGAAACTGAAAACGGTTTAAGAAAAGGGTAAATTCCTTCCCAGCCTGAAGCATTAGATGAAATATGTATTTGCCTTATTGCAAAAAGTAGGACCAAAAATATGAGTAATCAGGTTGCCACAGGTCTTCGCTAAGAACATGAAGAACATACTTCCCAACAGGTAAGTCTCAGAGATCATTACTAAGAGTTAAGACTTGGCTTGGAGCTTCTACCACTCACTAGCTAATAATCCATACCCTCTCTGAGCCTGTTGTCTTGTCAGTAATATATGGGGATAACAGGGACATTTCAGAGTTTTGGTAAAGACTAAAAGTAACACATTGCTAAATTTATAGTCGTTATTATTAAGTAAAGTTGTGATTGAATTCTATTTCTTAAATCTCAATAAAATTTACCATCTCTGCTTTGATGAACATATTTAAGACCGCTTCACTACTATGGATAAAAGAGCTAATGAAAATCGACATACTTGTCTCCATGTTTAGCCAAAAACAGCCGCATGGTTTGAAGTGCTTCAGATAACTGTTCCTTCTTGGTGGATATTTCTTCACTGGAAATCTGTGAGGCAAAGAAGATACATTCAACTTCTCTCCTCCTGAAGACTAAAAAAAGGTTAACCTTTAAAAACTAATCAAGTTCTATTAATCAAGGCCCAAATGACAGATCTACTTTCTGGGTGACCCAAGTCAAAACCCTATCAGAATCAGTTTACTGGCCTGGATAAGAGAAGTACCTTATTTAGAATGCATGATGAAAGAAAGGCCCTCTCCGTGACCACAATGTGGTCATTTTCACAAGGAAACAGTAATCCAGCATTACATGGTTCTTACACTTGTCTCCGCCCACCCCAAATGAAGGATGCTTGAACACCCAAGGTGGCCAGAGGTTCAGCCCTGGCCCCATCACCCCTGTACATCACAGTATTCAAGACAACTCAGGAATGTGGAACAGCTAATTCAAAAGAGCATCTTTCTTCTCCCAAGCTCCTGGAAATAGTGCTCCTTCTGACAAAATTATGGTGAAAGCACTAATCCGTAAGCGGGCAGACCAAGAATAAATCATTTCCATTGCTAAAACTTTCACCTTGCAAAAGTCACCTGTGACAGCCAGAGGAACAAGTGATCTATTTGAGTAAAACCACTTTTTCCTAATCTCTCAGTGCATCACTTCTGAATACCTAATTTCAGAAACTGCCTGTTAAAAGAACAGAAATAAGGAAATGATGGGCCCATGAAAAGATGTATTTCCCCATGTATTCTCTTCAGAATAAAGTCAACTTAAAGGTGATTTTTCCTGGTTATAGAAAATCATGAAGCCAGTGATTTTTGACAGGCACATTTATTATTCACATCAAATTACCTTAAATTTCCTTTAACAGAAAGACTACCAAGTGTTACAGAGATTTTTAATTTAGGCCATGATCTGCATTTAAAAAAGTATCTACTTTTATGTGTACTAGGTTTAAAACTGATAGTAAAGTTTTGGGGAATTTATAACTACAGAATGAGAAAGTACCAAGGTTTATAATCCACATTTCTCAAAAGAAACTTGCTTTCCCAAGAAATTTTTGCTAAGGTTTATGTTCCTATTTTAGTTCTTTTCCTATCTGATAAGGAGAAAAGTTAAGAAATAAGATATTTGAAACTAAGTATTCACATAAAATAACCTTCTGAAGATTCTGGGTTCCAAACACCAAACGTAATTGCTTTCCAACCTCTTATTTCTTCCACACTAATATGAAATACACTATGCAAGACTACAAACTAATATGGCTTTATTTTAATTAAATAATAATTTAAGTATATACTCAGGTCTGTAAACTTCTTCAAGGGGAACCCCAGATAAGTTACTTTTCCCTCATTTCATAAACAAAATTAGATACTGATGTTTTCTCCTCTTTAAATATGTCAACAATGTCTGTTTCAACTGACAACAAATGACACTGAGGCAGAGAAAGAAAAGGAAGCTAATGACAGCCCCTAAAACTTCCCAAGGTCAGGCAGAGGCAGGAGGGTAGTGTAGGAAAAGGGTTTTTAAAAAAAAATGCTCCTCAACTTAGTTGAAATTTATTTTTAAAATACAGCAGCAACTCCAGTGCTCACACCAGGAGCAGCAATACAGGAATCACACCTTAACTACCAATGCCCTGAGAGCTTCAAGCGGCCAGTCCAACATCACGGAGCACTAACACCTCACAAGCTGCAGTATGCAACTAATGCCAAGTTGCTGGGTACAGAAGACAGCCCAGAGAGCTACAGAGCTTATTTAAGGGAAAGAATCTAGAATTTCTGGTGACTGGTGAACACTTCTTTATACACAGAAAAGAGGGCCGGTGGGGAGGGAGGGAGAAGGGGACTGAGGGATATTATGATTGGCACACATGGTGTGGGGGAGATCATGGGGAAGACAGTGTAGCACACAGAAGACAAGTAGTGACTCTGTGCATCTTACTATGCTAATGGACAGTGACTGCAATGGGGTATGGGGTGGACTCAATAATATGGGTGAATGTAGTAACCACATTGTTTTTCCATGTGAAACCTTCATAAGAGTGTATATCGATAATACCTTAATAAAAAAATAGAGAAGATGCAGAAAAGCACAACTAACTCAAAATGTTAATACCCTAGTTTGTAACTTTGTTGTTCTTGAAACTTCCTGTTTACATTTGTAAGAATAAGACTGCCTATATTTAAGATGTGGGGTGCATGGATTTGCTTTGCTCTGGGCACAGAACAGGATGACAACTCTGCAGGAATTCTCAAGTGACTGTCAAGAGTCAGATCTAACCATTAGGAAAGGCAACACAACATTAGTTTACTAGTAGTAAGACTAACATTCAGTTCAAGTTTTGGAATCAGAAACACTTTCTTTGGCCACATACTGTGTGATTCCTTAAACAAGTTACTTAACCTCTCTGATCCTCATTATACTTGTCAATAAAAATGGGGAAAATTAGGGTAAAGAATCAAAATTTTTAGGTGGACTGTATTAACTCAGTAAATTCTACCTCCTATTACTGTAATATTAAGCCAGGATGACCTCAGTGAATACCTTTTGCTTAGAGAGGGAAGGTTTTCCAGCCTTCTCTCCATCTCTCAATGTCTTGCTGATATTTGACACCCATTTCTGTAATTCTTTGGCCTTTTCAACATGTTCTCTCTTTTCTTCTTCCAGTGACTTCTGACAGGTGTGAGTGGTTATAAAAAAAAAAGATATATTCCATTAAACTGGATCTCTTTTCAGAAGACCAAAATGTAAAAAGGTTCCATCACACACAGGTTACTGAGATATTTTATTGAATTACTTAACCACGTTTATCATGTCACATAGCAGATGTACTTCCAAAATGACTATGGTAGCAAGGGAAGCTGTCACCAATATGCCTTCATGATCGGTCTAACCTCCCAGCTGGTCTATCAATACAACAAATAAAACAACACAATTTTATTCATGAAGCACTAGATCTTTGCATCACTGCCCTTTGCATTAGCATTGCAATCACAATGGTCTTGAAAGAAAAGTATCAAGACAATGGAAAGCTGAAAGAACAGAGAATGTGTACAACACATATGAAAACTATATGGAATGAAGAAAAATCTTTCGCCCTCTTGCAACACACAATAATGCTGCTTTTAATTACAAAGTCTAACTAGAAATGGGAGATTGTGGGAAACATTTAATATGCAAAGAAAGTTACTGCGTACAGAAAAACTGAAACCTTTTTTATTTTACAAAGCAATCTGAAACATGATAGCCTCAGAGATGTGGGAACGAATTTACATCTTTCACTTTGACTCCATGGTGCTTTCTGAAGTGCCTTTCAGTGAGTGTAATGGATCACTCAGTAAACGGGAAACCGAACATCAGGCTGGACCTATTTAATGATGGAGAGTGAAGAAAAGGTGCTGTGAACTTGTAGGCTTATCCCATATTCTAGGTACAATACGTTTATATTTTAGTGCATGCAAGATTTAAAAAACTAATCTCAAAGCTCAATAGAACCATTTTTAAGAGCAGTAAATCGTTTATTTTCAATTTAAAACTCATTCTCTCTTCAGAACTCATTCTCTCTTCAGAATAATCAGCTATTTCCAGCCCTCAAGAAATAAATAGTGCTTGAAGTCTGTGACAAAGGTACTAGACTGTGTATTTAACTAATACTATCGTGATTTGAACTGGATAGCATCACCCCTCTGCAAAGTTATTTAAACATGTCCTCTTATGAAGAATAGTAGAGGCTAGAAATTCCTGTCATCAAGGGTTCCGATACTTCTAAGAGTTTAAGTCCTGTGTGGAAATCAAAGTCTGCTTTTTCTAAGGCTTCTTTATAGGTCAACTTTCTTTTTGTTTGGGGACATATTATATTTCTGACATACGACTTCTGATCTTTGAGTTTTGTAGCGATGAAGACATCTATAATTCCAACTTGGAGAGCCTCTTCTATTGACAACCGGGAGCGAACCTGTGGCTCTATCAACCCCCCTGTCAAGTACTGGAATTCCAAACATCTGATTCCCATTTCCTTATTTATGATATTTGCATTCACAGCTTCCACCACTGACATCACTTTGTTGGTGATGGGATGGCCGATCCCTGTGATCACTAATTCGCACTGTCGCAGCTGCTGGGCAAACCCCTCGTCAACCAGGCCTCTATGCAAAGCTTCAGCCACCCGGTACTTTTTGCCAGTCAGGGGGTCGATAATCCCACCTGTACTGACTTGGGCTTCAAGGCATCTGAGGGTAGTAATCCGATCAACCAGATTTCTACGGGAGGCCTTTAGCACAGAGATCCTTTCCCCACTAGCAGTCAGCCAGTAGCCTGCAATGGGACTGTGCAAATCCTTCTTGGGAACTAACCGGCTCAGCAAAGAATCAGCAAGTTCTGTAAGCGTGATGAGGCCTTCCTGGTACTTTTTGACCAAGCCTTTGTCAACCGTTCCCTGCTCTATCGCCTCATTTATATTGAACTGTAACCCTGTCTTAGTATCACTCAGCATATGAGAAGGATGCCCATAGGATTCAAAAAATGTGGCTTCCTTCCACTGATACTGTTGCCCTGAAAGCTCAAGATATGTACTTTTGTCGATTAGGTTTCTCTGGAAAGCCTCATAAGCAGTCAGTTCTGCTCCTGATTTAATATCTACTACAGAAATCCTATGAGTTTTCTGGACATTGAGATTGGAAATGTTCCTCTCCCCGAATGGAAAGAGAAGGCATTGGCAATCTATGTCGAATACACACATTTGCAGCAGTTCTGAGTAATACAGAGCTTGCTTGTTGTTGGGATTAGGAAAAACTCTTGCGTTGCTGGACGGCTCGTGCAGGAACTGGAGGACGGCATTATTTAACAAACCCTGCTGCAGCGCAGTTCCTGGAGGGATGCGAATGCCTCTCACCGGGTCGATGACGCCCCCGCTGGCAATCTGGGCCTCCAACATATGTTTACCTTTTTGTCTGTCAAGCATCCTATTTTCCATAGCTTGAAACACTGACAAAGTCTTAGAAGAATATGAATATCCCAGGGCTGCCTTCTCTGCCTCAAGGAGCCTGATTTTGAATTCAGGGTCAATAACTCCTTTAAGAATGGCATCTTCAACAGAGTATGTCTGACCCGAAATGGGATCAATTATAAAACCTGTGGCAGCCTGAGCTTCTAAAAAGGCTAAAGCCATCATTTTATCTATTATGATTTTCTTGGCCGCAGAGGCAAATGAAATCTTTTCTTTTGTGGATTCGAGATAAAGCCCTGCGATTGAGGTGGCTTTTGTCAAAAACTTGCTAAGGGTTTTCTGAACTTCTTCAACAGTCTTAAGCCCAAGTCGCAGCTGCTCAATTGTTTTCATGTCCAGAAGCTTAGCTTCAACCAACTGCCTGGCAGTCACAGTGTGCCGAAGCCCTTGGAATTTAAATTCATCATCCCTAACCAGACATGTGTGACCACCATCAAAGTTCTGGAAGGTCTCTGGTTCTAAGCCTTTTTTAAGGAAATCTCTAGTGCATCCACCAGGTGCTCGGCACCCATCAAGCATCCATTCTTCAGCACTGGGTACTGGGCACTTTTCTTGTTTTAAGGTTGTAACTTCTGTGTGCATATCATACTGCTTGTTCTTAGCTATCTGTAACAGGAATTTATAAGATGTTAAAAGTCATCTAGAGAACATTATGCCACTTTACCCATTCTTAATCCAAATACAATTCCTAGAATAACAAAGATGAAACAAGTCAAGAGAAGGAAAATGTCAAACCACAGAGGACTCTGCAACAAGTAATATTATTTAGAGAGTCTGAAGCTTACTTTAGGTGACAATTAAGGTATTAAAATGGTAGGTTTAAAAAGACTGAGATGAAATTTGTCCCCAGAACATGTTAGAAACTAAAGGTAAATGCTTGTTTCTTCTAGTTTTTGTTTTATGGTCACATTCTTTAGAATATAATCCCATAGATATGACATCCATATGTTTAATCTCAAGCACTTAAAAATGAAAGAATAACTTGTAGTAAAGATTCAAGTAGATCACTAGAAAAGTACAGCATTTTGTCAGAATGAAAGAGCCACTCCCATTCAACGTCATTTAAAAAACTTCAGCAGAGAAAGAAACGAGAGGAAACCTGACATTAGGTAGCTTATAAGGTCTCAGAATCCGGAGCATACCTCTAAGGGTGCCAAAAGTGTCACCAAGTCCATTTCACATTTGTCATCTTGATACCTAACAGGTGGTCTGGAATTGAACAGAGCATGATCTCTTATCTTCTCTATTTCTGACAGTTTGGCAATAGGGTTTGTCTCATCAAAAGTTATCTGCAATTCGGTGCTTGTTTGAGAAAAATACTCCGAGTAACATTGTTGGCTTTTCTCCTTCTCATGCGGTGCCCCCAATGGCCAGAACTGGACATCCTTCTGCACTGGCTCAACAACTCGATGTTGCCAGTTTTCTTCGGAAAACTGCTGTGGTTCCTGGGTCCATCTCAGAAGAGGAGATTCGGCTGCCGGGCGAAGATGTCCGGGGTTCCCAGAGGAGAGGTTTCCGGAGTGCTGGCGCTCCCTCACTGCCATCTCAGAATCTGGTTTGAAGGTACAATCTTTGGCTGGGTTCTTTTTTTGGATTTCATACTGGAGCAAAACTAATTGATGTTCGTGTTCCTTTATCTGCTGATCCATTTTTTGCTTCAGGTTTTCAACTTCACGTTTCTGGGCTACCAGCTCACCTTCAAGTCTCCGACACTTTTGGTAATGATTCGCTTCTCCACCCTGCCCTTGCTGCATCTGCTCGCGGTACTGCTGAAGCTGGCTTTCAAGTTCTCTGATACTTGTTTCACAGAGCTTGGCATTCTCTTGAGCTCTGCAGTTTTCTCGCTGAAGAGACACAAAGTCGAGCTTGATGCCTGAAATGTCATGTTCAGTGATAACCTTGGAGTCCATTAATTTTTCCATCTTTTTCCGGAACTCCTCTGCGGAACGTTTGAACTTATTAGATTCTTCCTGGAACAGAACCATCTTTCTGTGGGTCATCTGCTCCTCAATGGTCTTTAAGTACAGTTCATCCTGTACCTTCTTCAACCTGTTGTTTAGCTCTTGCACCTGAGCTTGCTGCTGCTGTACCTTCTGTTCCCCCAGTCGCTTTTCCTCTTTGGACGCATTCAGCTCAGCATTTAGATTTCTAACCTCTTTTTCAGTATTCTGGATGATAATGTTCTGCTGGTCACACTTTTGCTTAAATTCGCTTACTAAATTTTGACTTTTGGCCAGGTCATCTTCCAGGCATTTAATTTTTCTATGGAAATCCTGTTCTGTTTTTGTCTGTTTATGCAAGTGTTCGTTTGTGTTGCGCAGCTGATCTTTAAAACCATCTGCCTGAATTTTCAGTGCTTCACATCTCTGCTGGATAACCTGCTTCTCTAAAACTACGTTTGCTGACTCCGCCTGAATTCTCTGCATCATTAACTTCGTTTCGTCGTTCTGCCTAGTAAGCTCACCTACCCTTTGTTTCAGCATTTCTGCACACCCATTACTTTTCTCCAGTTCTTCTTTAAGCTTCTGGATTTTATCGTTGTTTTCTTTTTCAGCTTTAATATTTTGAAGCAACTGTGCGTGGCTTTTCTCAAATTGTTCTTTTAGATGAACTGACTTTCTCTGGCAGAACTGTATTCTGTCGTTAGAGAATTCCTTCTCCTCCTGGAGAGAATTAACTTGTGAATTTAAATGCTGGATATTCTTCTCAGCTATGGCGTGGGTCCTCGTGATCCTGTCTACTTCCCTTTGCAGCTTCCCTTTTTCCTGTTGAAGAGACTCTAGCTCTACTTCGTAACTGTGCTTTATTCTCTTAAGATCATTAGCTTCTTGCATGACTTCTTCTGCTTTACCTGTGGTTTGGTTCAGCTGCCTACCCAGTTCTCTGAGCTGCTGAGAATACCCTTCCTCCGCCTGGTCCTTCCTTTCCAACTCTAACTTCAGGCACTTGAGCGTGTTATTTGTTTCATCCAGTTTTTCTTTCAGGAAACGAGCCTTTTCCTCAGATGAGGTCTTTTCAAGCTGGAGGGCACTGAGTTCGTACTTGAGCTCTCTCATGTCTTTCTCGGCCTTTCTGTTGGCAACTGTGAGCTCATCTACCTTCTGCCTGAGTTCCTCTGCTCTCTGAAGACCTGCCACGTCTCCGTGTGACGTCGCCTGTGTGATCGCACACGTTGGCAGCGTACTTTCTCTACATGAATGCTGAATTTCAGTTATTTTCCTTCTTGCTTCCAGTTCGATTTCCTGCTTTTCCTTCAACTGTTTCTCTGCTATCTGTTTTTGAAGCATTAGGTCTTTCTCCATCTGCTTTATCAGCTTCAAGAGTTCCTCCTCGTTGTCCCTCTTTCTTCGTAATTCTTCCGTCAACTTCATTTTCTGATGTTCCAAGTCATGCAGACTTGAATCTTTCCTTTTAAGATGATCTTCCAGGGTTCTTCTGGTGAAGCTGTGCTCCTCTAACTGGTTCCGGAAATTCTGCAGATTTTCTTCCACGGTCGCCCTCCGGACCTCGGCCTCTGCCGTGAGCTGCCTCACCCGCTCCAGCTCCCGCTCCGCGGCCTCCTTCTCCCTCACGATGCTCTCAAGCTCCCTGCGGTACTGCTTGGCTTCACTTTCAGCCTTGATTTTCTGCAGGGCAATGTCTTCTACATTTCTCTGCTGCTTCCTCAACTCATTTTCTGCAGCTTCCTTGACTTTTGGAAGTTCTTCCTCGACTCGCAACTTTTGCCTCTTTAGTTCAACTACCATGTTCTCCAGTTCACTGATCTTCCCTGTGAGTTTGCTGTTCTCAATCATTGTTGCCTTCTGACGCTGAAGCAGATCTGAATATGCCCCATGGTCAGAAGTCTCCTTACACCTTTTAATCTACAAGAGATGTTCAAAAGTGTCAAGCCTGTTCTATTCAAATTTACCTTAAAAAATCTGAAGCAATGCTGGAAAATACTAAAACAAGCAAAACCAAACGCAGAACAAGCACCACCACCACCACCTTCCTCAGAGAGGAAGCTTCAGAAAGTCAGCAGTGCGAGAAGACGAAAAACCCTTCGTGTCAGGTTTGCTAAACCAGAGAATCTTTTTTCTCTCTCTCATGAATAATTTTGTTTTAAAAATTAGCTAGTTCAGGATTTTATAGCAAGGAGGGATCTTACAAAACACAGAGCATGACCTCAATCTTCTTTCTACAGTTTTCAATCATCTTGAAAACACACGAATGGGTGGATAACAAAGGGGCGCTACTCTCCCAGCAGCGCGCTCGCCTACCACTTCGCCTCCCGAGCTAAGAAGAACATAGAGGAGTCGAATGACATTTAAAAACTGAAGTTTTCAATATCTAGCCAAGTACAAATTTAAAATGATATCTACATCCCCATTTTAGGGTTAAAGAAACAACGTAACAGAACTCTGGGACAAAGAGCCAAATCAGGAAAATAATATCTAACATGGGGAAGGAGGAAAATTATTTAAAACCTTCTGATTTCTAAAGGCAGATTCCTTACTTGTTGATACTTGCCACATTATCACAATCATAATGATCAGAGTTGCTAATGCAAAGGCAGCTATAGTCCCTGGTGGCATTAGAAAAGATGTGCTTCATGTACTCACAGATTTTGTTGTTGTTAATGACAGACCTTTTATGAATCCACCTCGACAAGTACCTTTAGATACTCCACAAATACAAAGATATTCGTTAAATATAAGTGCTTTTTGTAACATACGTAAGGATTCAGTTCCAATGTATAATATAAAATATAAGAAATACTTTTTACTCTATGGATAATAGAATCAGTCTCAGCTGGGAGGAGTACAGTTTGCCTTGACTACAGAACTAAATGATCAGCGCTAGTTTATAATTAAACAATTTCATTTATCTTTATCAATACACTACAGTTGTTAGTTTCATATCATCAGCTCAAAAACATCATAATGAGAAACAATCTAATAAGGAGAAATTATATATTTTTTTCTCCACTGAGAAGCTTTGGTCAGTTTCAAGAACGTCATTTACATTATAGACCATATATCTTATTTTGCTGCCTCTATTGTCCTGATTCCCAATGATTTTGATGATAATTTCAGTCCTCTGCTAATCTATATATGGTTTTTAATAAGAATGCATATAAAAATAAATCTCATTATAGTCTGCAATACTTGATGATCCATTTATTTTGTAACCAGGGTCCACTCTTAGTGACACTGAAGCATTTCATCTTCCTAAATATTAAGTGTTCAATATGGTCAATTAGATGACTTCTAAAAGTCTCAATTTTTTGTCAAATCTCCTTTAAAGCTTAGCTGTTGCTATGAAGTTTTTGAGTATCATAAAAGTGAAAATTCCCTCAGGAAAAAAAGATGGTCGAACCCTGAGTATCTTAATTAGAGCCATTTTAGCAATTGTTTTATAATCACATTTTGTCTAGATAACACTGAATTTTTTAGCAGATACTAGCAAAATTACTAGGAATAATTTAGTCCTATTGCTGATTTGCTTCCTTGTTGATGTCAAATTTATTAATATAAAAACAACTTCCTCAAGGAAACATTATCTTCTAATCTCAAAAATTAATATTTGATATATATTTGCATTCAATATAGATCAGAAAAATCTCTTTACCCATCTAATATCCATTACATCTACTCTACTAACACATCTCTAACTAATTTGGTACATCTTCTGAAGATAACATGCATCACTGTTTGATTTTTATGCTTATGATGGAAAATTCTGCTCCCAGACTCAGATTTCTCATGTGGGTCTTTACAGACCCAGTTATAGAAATATATATCTTTTATAAGATATTCAATTAATATGATCTTTAAGTGGTAAAGTTCTAATCAGGAATGTTTTTATCTACTTTAAATCACAGTATTTACATGGTCTTGTATAAACCAGATTGTTTTGATGCTCAATTCACTATGAATCTTTTACATTTCAAAGAATGACAAGCATAATTTGTATATATTGCAGGCAAAATGTTTCAAGTATCTTTGGGTTGTATAATTTCTAGTATTCTACCTCATCATATAAATTTGAGCAAACTGGTTCACACACATGCAATCAGATACACACTATAAGAGAAAGGACTTAAGTTACTTTACATATAATTATGAAAATATCATTTAAAACAGACTCAGATCTCTCCAAAGCTAAGAATGTAAGCAAATTATGGGCGTTCTTTCATAGACGAGAGGTGTATGCCAATTATGTGGATGGTAACAACCTCTGGTTCTCCTTTCTAAACACAAAGGAATCTGGTTATAAAGACTTGCAAGTAGCTATGTTAGTGATCTAGTTGCGAAAACCTTTAACTCCGAACAGACTAAAATAGTTTACAAAAGCAGTCACATTTTTTTAATACTAAGAAAATAACAACTATTAGACATTTCCTACCATTTTGGTTCTCTCATTATATGAACAGAGTTACAGTAAATATAATCATCTTCAGAATTTCAACCACAGTCTACTTTAAGATGGCTAATGCCCCACAGTTGACTTATTTTAGTTTTCAGTCTATTTTGGTCTGTTCTGAGGTCAGGAATAGAAAGCAAATCAAGAAAATAACAGCAGAGCATAACCCTTCAAAATCAGATGCAGTTGCATTTCATAGCAATATTATTTTCCTAAGTAACTCCTTACTCTACATTTCTGAATGTATTTTTTAAATGCAGAATCAAAGCTGCAGAAGTCCTCCCTATAAGAATGGCACTTATTTTTATCATATACCACGTCCTCTTGGCAAGAACAAAAACAAAAAACTCCATAATTCTTAAAAAGTAGAGATCATTTTGTACAAACACTTACTTCTTCTAAATTAATGGCTTTTATGTTTTAAATCCTTGAAGATACTAATTTAAAATAAATGTGTTTATATAGTATTTCTGTAAATAACAGTAGGAACTCTACTTCCAAGACGTATACTTCCCAACCATGGTAAAACTGAAAATATTCTGCCAAACTGCCACAGTACATAATTTAAATAGGACCATTTAGGACATTAATGGTATTAGGGTCCTAGAGTAAAAATAGGAAATGTTTTTCTATTTGAGAGAATTTTAAAACCAACCCAAAAAATCCTAGGTCTTTTCTCTTTTTCATTGCAATTTTATAATTAAATCATTACTTATAGATCAGCTATTAACCATGTAAATCTATCATAGAACCATTTTTTGTTTTTTCCCAAACATATTGTAGCTTCTTTTTAGTTGCCTGTTCATGGATAATGGTTACCTCCTCTTCTTCCAGCCTCTTCAATGAATCACCGACAAATTTAACATATTGTCTCATGTGGGTGACCAGAGCCGTGTACCGGGTCCATAGGTCCAAGAACTGCAAGTAAGGGAAATAATAAAACATCATCTCCCGTTGCCCTAAATGAGCTGGAGGAATGCTGAGTAATAATTACAATACTGGCTAGGCTTTGCGACAGTGAAGTATGCAACTCCCCAGTAATGGTAACTGGGGGGGAATGTGCTTATGACTGCTGCGCATGCCATAGTAAATGACAATTCTCTTCTAAATTTAATCATGGAGTATGTTTGTTAGTCTCTGTAGTTAATCATTAATCTTGAATAAAGCTTTCCAATGGGTTTTTAGGACCATTAATTAAATGTATTCTTATAAGCAGAGAGCTTCTTTTTGGGATGAAAAAGTTCTGGAAATGGACAGTGGTCAAGGTTGTACAACATTATGAGTGTACTGAATGCCAATGAATTGTACACTTAAAAATGGTTAAAATGGCAAGTTTTCTATTATATACACTTTACCACAATACAAATATATAAATATTAATTTTTTTAAGTACTGTTTCTCTCCTTTTTACCCGTTTTCCTCTCTCTTGTACTTTCGTTACCTCTTGAATAATGAGATCTGCTGAGCTCTGCATTCTTTGGTGTTTCACTGGAGATTTTTGTTGTGAATCTACCATGGTGCGGTACGTCATCTTTTGTAATTCATAGTCCTGTGTAAAGGAGTCAGTAAGATTAAATTAATTAAAGCAACCCACTAATGCTTAATTCTACAGTGCTTTGACACTGAGAAATAGAATCTAGTTTCACTGAATAACTTTAAATTAGAAAAAGAATTCCAAAACTACATTTTTAGGAATCTACCCAATCCTGGAACGCCTCCAAGGCAGTTATAAAAGCAGAACATTTAGAGTGGTCAGAAATGCTCCCAGGTCTCTCTAGAAGCTCATGGAAATAAAACATAACGGTCACAGTATGTCTGTTATATCCTGCCTCCCCCTCCTCTAGCTGGGCAATGAAACTGTGGTTCTGGGGGACTGAAGTCAAGGCATTGTCAAGGACTTCAAAGGCATGAGAACTGCCCTCTGAATCAGAAAGGCAGAAATTCTCCCATGGAATATTCCAGCAGTGTTAAAAAAGACAGAGAGCAAGGGTGCAAAAAGTAGTTAAGAAACCAATTTCAGGGCCATGTATTTACTCTGGTGGATGTGTCTGTGCTGAACACATGTGTGACATGGAGAGAGGATGAATGAACCAGGGGCTGTCATGTGACTCACATTTCACAAAAATTGTTAGACAAATGTCAAAAGCTTCAAAGGAAGAGTTCCTGTTTTTTGTTGCATAGTGAAATGATTTGCAAAGGCTTTAGAAACACACTGTAGAATCACACACCTAAATGTGACCCAAGTAACTGAATCTCCTTACCTTCACTGTCCTTGAGTACTCTTCTAGATATTTTTGACACTCAGCCATTTTGCTGTGTTTCATTTCTATTTCAGATGCCAGCATCTATAGACATACAGTTTAGAAAAAAGGACAAGTAGTTATTCAACTACTTAAGATGCTCAGGAACTAAGAAATAGCCACACACTTTAATAATATAGTTCCTCAGCCCTGTGCATTTGATACACAATTAGCTTTATGGGTAAAGCACAAATTTCTAGGTTAAGTCAAATAAGTGACTCACCCTGATGGGGCTTCCAAAGCAGAAATTCCTAAAACCCCATAGGAATTATCTAAAAGTAGTCTTGATGCCCTTGGCCCCCACCTATTCCTGATCAAAACAGAGCTAGAAAGTACTGGCCCTTCAAGTACAAAAATCTCAAAAGCATTCAACTCTCTGTCAAATGTGGCTGTTAATTTTCTACCACTAATCACTTTTAATTATTTAGGATCTCACGAAAATACTGTAGCCAGCCAAGTACCAAAGAGACTTCTATACCTATAATTAAATTATCATTAGGAATTTGAAAAGTGTACCAACACGCTACTTTCTTATTCTTTACGCTTCCAAAAATTACCTCCAAGAAATCAAAGTAATTGATGTATGTAGGCTTGGATTATAAGATTTCAGTATTTATGATTTATTCCCTATCTTCCTCCAAATAGTTGCTGGCTTTTTCTTTTACCAAAGGAAAGGAAGATAAGGGTCATGACTGACCAAATGCAGACACAACCTTAGTACATAGAATTGTTTTTACATACCTTCTGTTGATTCAGCTTTGTGACTAGAGTTTTACTATTTTCAGGCTGATTCTCCCGAATCTTTGTCTGAGTAGTTTCAACTTGCTGGATCCAATCATCCAAAGAGTGATAGGTATCTCTGTAGTACTTCAGTGATTTTCCAATGCCTTCTAAGTCCCGTAACCTAAGAGAATAACCACAGAACAGTTTCCATCAGTACCCATTAGGATGGCAGAAGATACAGAGAAGAAGGGAGACACAAAATAACTGTACTGCAAGGCACTAAACCCAGCAACAGGGGTACATGTAAGGAATTAAAAGCTACAGCACCCAGAGGCATATTTCTAAGAGCCTCCATACTGGCTTAGGTTAATTCTAAGTTGTACCACTTAGGGGCACTGATTATTTTAGGTACAGGCCCCAGAGACTAAAGCTAAAATGCAGAAAAGTTGGAAACTTAACTATAATTATTATCAATCAACATGCCTTGAATATCCAAAGCTTGCATCAAGTGGCAGTTCACTTTTGCAATAATGACAAATTAGTTCAATGAATAAAGCTATGATTAAATACCTCAATTTCTGTGATTAAAAAACCACTGTTTTAAACCTGTATATCATATATTTTATGGGGATTAGGTAATGTATATGTTGAACATAACTTTACTTCTCAAGAATGGCACTATATCATAAAAGTATTTTATTTGCATTTATTAATATAAACATGAAAGTGAATGAAAAAGGAAACTATTCCGTTTCTTTTAAGATGAGCTCTAAAGCCATTCCATTTCCTTTCACTTCTATATTTCAGTCACTGGGTGAATTATTTCAACTTTTTGGATCTACAATTAAAATAAACATCAGGTCCTTTCAATTTCTTTACATCCTCAGGTCTAGTATAGATGAACGCATATGGCCCTATCAGATGCATGATCCATGCTCTTACTAAGTCTTGGTTATTTGCACATTGTAAGTTGGTAATAAATACAAAACTATACTGGGTTTTTTTCCTTCAGAAAAGGCAAGTAGATTAATTATGCAAACACCAGACTACATCAATAATTTTAAAAACATAAGAGTTGAAAAATACTCATTTTGAAGTTAAATGTCTTGCTAAAGCCCACCATATAAACAGATATATAATTAGAGCTCTCACAATTAACATAATTATAAGTTTTTTTAAATGCTTAAATGTATGTTTTTTCCAGAACACAAGGACAGACATTAAATCTGTGACAAAACTCAACAAAAAAGGAGACTAACCTGTTATCAATCTGAACGTGAACATTTTGCCACCTTTCTACTAATTGATCTGCTTTTTCTTTGTGCCAGTCAAAATCGAGGTCCTGTTCTTTGTATGTTTTAAACATTTCATCACTGATGGCTTTAGCTTTCTGCAACTCATCCTCTAATGCATGGAATACCTCTCTCTTCTCATCTACTTCCGATCTCCATTGCTAAAATAGATTAATTGGTAAAAGTTATAAAAAGGTGTCAACCACTCACTGCATGAACACATTATTTACCTAATTTTGTAACTTATCTACAAATGACTGCCATAAAATCAGATAAAGGAAACACTATCTTTCATGTACAAAGATATTAGGTTGAATCTTACAAATTGCCAATGTTTTCACATTGATCTAAAAATAAGACACAATTTTATAAAGTTCAGCCTAATAGAATTTGCATATTAATAAAACAAAATATATTCCTTAACAAGTCTGCTACCTCTATAGTTCTTTTTCATTGCTTATCTTAAAAATATCCACTAATCTCATTGTGTAAAAATAAATACATGCATTAAAAATCAGAGATAACTTTTCCCAATTATTTTGTAATAGTTTTAGTCTGTGCTTTATATACAGAAGTATAGATACAGATGAGTAAAACTATCAGTCTTTTTCTTTCCTTAGATTAACTCCTCTACTTACTTCCTTGATTTCTTAATATCACTGCCTCTTTCAGCAACAAAATCTATTACAAAAAATTTAAGTTCAACTCCTGCTGACATGAATTGTATAAAAAGCTACTGTCAAAAAGATTCAAATTTCACATGAGAAGAAACTCACCTCAAACTAAAAATGACTGAGCATACTTCCACAGAGTAAGCTACGGCATTATAAAGAGATGAAATGGAATGAATATAAATGTATTCAAACTAAGGTTATTTAATGGTTGATGTTTGGAAGATCTAAGTGTTAGAGAAATACTTTTGGAGTATGATCTTTAAAAATAGCCCAAAGTGAGATTCATACCTTTAAAGTACGTATGAGATTTTCAGTATTATTCTTGTCGGCTATAACCGCTTCTTCTTCACACAGTTTAGTTTCATAGAGTTTTACAAGGGCTTCTGCAGCCTGAGTGTTTTTTAAAACTAAATTAACAGTTTTCAACCTAAAAAAGGGAATTAAACATAGCCTCCTATACGTAAATGTTTATTTTCCAATGAAGCACTATTATGACACACGATATAGCATGCTTTCCTCCTTGGGACACGGACACACTTCTACAAGATTAACACTCAGCTAACTCTTTTCTTGATATTGACAGACAGCACTGTGTTCCGCCCCGCGGCCTGCCCACGAGCAGTACACAGCAAGAGGGTCCAACGTAAGATGTTCTTTCAAACCTTGTTTAGAACAAGCTTAGGAGGAAAATCCTATGAACAACAACAGCTGAGTCACCTACAACTACGGGCAAAATGCAGGAGGATCATACATTATGCCCTGATTCCTGAGGCATATTCCCTTTCACTATGAAGAAGCATCAGGGTTCCATAGAATTATTTAATGTATTTGCTATTAAGGCCAAACAATGAATATATTTATTTTCATAAAAATTAGTATTTTTAAATGAACAGCTTATGTATAAAAGTATGACAGTTGTATAAAGCGAATTTTTATTAAGACAGTGGTTACATACTTATCTATGTAAGTGGAAGACATAGAATAGACTTGGTTCATGTTCTGAATGACCACACTGAGCTCAGATCGTAAGGTAGGAACTGATGGAGAGGTTGCTGCTTGACTGAAAAATTCTTCGCATTTATTTGTGATTGTCCCCAAATCATCTTTAAGTCGCTCCAGCTCTTTCTTCAGTTTCTATAAAGCAGAGAGTAAACATTGGTATGAGGCTGTCACTCCAGATGGTGCATCTTTCTTTAAACATTAAAAAAAAAAACATTTACATTATGCTCATTGACTTAAAAACCTCTGCATCCTTTACTTTTTTCTTTATTCAAGAAATTAACCAAAGCATTCATGTTTTATTATCAAAAATTCCCTACTGCCCATCTCCTCAGGCACAAACATCTAACTTAGTGCTTTTGCATATAGCAGGTGACCATCAAACCCAAAATGAGATGACTTGTACTCTGAAAAGCCCTTACAGTCTCCATCACAATGGGTAAGAGGGACGTGCTCCTGTGTTCACCTGAGACACAGGTAGTACCGAGCTACAGAATCCTCATTTATAATAAACAAAAAATACATAATTGAATCTAATAACTGGGTAAAACTGAGCATGTAAGAAGTCACAGGAATTGGCAACGAAGGTCATTAAGATAAATTCTTTAACGAAGGTCATTAAGATATAGTTCTTTACCTTAAGCTAACATCTGTCCCAACACATTTATAAATCTCACCTCCTGCTCTGTGATTCTGAACACACTTTCATGAAGATCATCTCTTTCCAGTGGATTTCTGATCTGTCTAATCAACCGATCTTCACAGTTCTTTAACTGAAGTCTGATGTTTCGAACCTCAGAAATGTAGAGATTATAAACTGATTCCTCTTGTTCCTCTGCGAAAGTAAACACAAATGTTTAGAAAATACTTCGCCTTCTATCTTTTGGATGCTCTTGTTTATGTTTTAATGGGGCACTTTTACTACTACTGGGGAATAGCTAGTCTAAATGACATAAGCAGTTATTATCACAATCCCACCCAAGGACATAAACCTTACAAAGAGTGGAACATTTACAAGTGACAGAGAGTTTATAAAACTTTCCTATGCCATCCAAAGTACCAGTGTCTGACTTATGATGTACAAGGAAGGCAATGTATGTTCACAAAAATGTGAATTAGTTGCAGATTAATTTTTAAAAGTAAACAAAAATACTTAAAAATGAAAAGCAGGTAATGAATGTGTTAATGTTTAAAAGTTTTTAAACTAGAATATTATTGATTAAAGTTCCTGTCTCTGTGTAACATCTAATGAGTTCATAATAGAATCTGTACTTAGCAAAAGTAACTACATAAAATATTTTCCTTTGACTCACATACAATCCAAGTGTGGCTGTGGGAAATCTCTCCACATTCCTCTCAATTTTGCTATGGATGGAAAACTCCTCTAAAAAATAAAGCCTTAAAAATCCTTTGGTACATAGGAAAATACTTGAATTTTTTCAGAAACTAAGGATTATTATTCTGAACACTACATTGTAAAATAGTGATAATGTTGAAAAGTAGATGCATTAAGAATCCATCATTTGTCATACTAGTGTGTTGGCATCTTTTTATTAATTCATCATTTAGAAAAAAATGAATCCCTCTTTGCATCTTCCTATCTCAAACATGTTTTTTACATTCCAGCAATTTTGTCTACCTGTCACAGGCTAAATGACCTAATATACCTAAGATTAAGAGTCCCCTTTAAAGCAGAAAATAGCCTGAAATAAACTCTATGGAGAAAAAAAGACAAGGATCCCCATCCTTTACCTCTTTCAGCAGACTTCAGAAGTTCTTGGTAATACTGCTTACATACATTAACCTCCTTTTCCAGTTGTGTTATATCTGAGCCTGAAAATATTTGTGATTCTTGACTATCTTCCAGAAAATCTTCAAAACGAGATTGCAGATTGCTCAGGACTTGCTGATGTTCACCAGGTAACATTGTCTTTATCTAAAGAAGACCAATGATCCAGGTAATTTATTAGAGTACTAAAAGTTGAATTTAAAATGGGACAGATATCAAGCTAGGGTATCATTTTATATGCCAGCTCATATTAATAGTTATAAACAGAAGAAACACTTGAAATTAATTTTCTTCTTCATTAACTATTTCAGTTTTAAAAGACAGGGAAAAACAAGTCCATAAAATTCAATAAGTAAAATCAAACTGTACCCATTTCTCGAAGTCTCAACACTATATATACTGTGTCCCTATCAAGAATAAGCACTGAATAAGCATTTCATAGGAAATGTCTTGTCTACAATAGGTACATAACAAATATTCATTGAATAAATGAATATTAGCATGGATCTGCTGGGCTCCACCCTATGCTAGAACAAATACATTCCACCTCTCATAATAATGTGCCCCATATTTTGGGGCAGATTATGTTGATGTATAGATTTATACTTACTGAAGCCACATTGCTAGCTTGAATTCTATCAATTTCATTGATGAGATAATGCCAGGATACTACACTCTTCATGTTTATGTGAGACTCATGCCAAAGAGTCAGGACATTCTGATACTGTTGCTCAATTCTGAAATATATGAAAGAAAACACAGGTTAAGTCTGTTTCACTCCCTCTGAAACATGTTACAATTTTTCTTTTTGTTTGAGTACTAAGCCATTTTTACTAGTTCTGGGTCCTTCTGATGCTGTGGGTCGCACTACAAACTATTGATTGTTTCTTTAACCTTCAGAACCCCTCAAAAGACCAGCTCTGTGTATTCAGCTAATGCGTACAAACCTGTTTGCAAAGTCAACTGCTTCTTTGTTGGGTGGGGGAACTGTGAAGCACACAGAGGGCACCATAGCCTCATTTCCAGTAGGACTGATGACCTTCCATTTAGCACGATGAGAGTTGTTGGCCAAGACACATTCATCATCTTTGAAAATGGTTATCTGGTTTTAAATGAAGAACAGAAAAGCCAAATGAGGTCACAGCTGACTAATTTTTTTTCAATATTGGGATTTCACTGTTTTTGAGGTAGGAAAATGTTCCCACTAGTAAGCAATTTGACCTCATTTTTAAAATATATAAATAATGCCAGAAACTGGTCTATTTCTAGGAGTCATAAGTACCTCAATTTGTCTGTAGTCACAGATAGCTTTGATTGTAATAGAAGTTTTGAGTGGACAGTCAGGATTCCTTGGCTTCAGCTGAGTGATTGTTTTTGCTCTCCCCATCAGGCTTGCCACTGTGCTTTTATACTGCAGAAGTTCTTCTTTCTCTTCCTAAGTAATAAATAAGATGGGTTTTTAAAAGTAAAAGACATATATGCTCTCGCCCTACACAGGTGAAACGCCATCAGAAGTCTTCCCTGACCACCTGGCCCTAACGTTCCATCCCTCCCCACCCCTCTCACATCTCTCTTCCCTTGTTTTGTGTAGTTGTTTTACCCTCTTTAGACTTTATCACTGTATAATATACTAACAGAGATTTTACTTATTGATCATGTTTATTGTCTACTCCCCTCTAGGATGCAAGCGCCAGGGTAGGGATTCTTGTCTGTTCTCTATTCTATCTCCAGCACCTAAAACTGTGCCTGAAGGAAGTGCTTAACAAGTATTTGTGAAATGAATGACTAAATACACACACACACACACACACACACACACACACACACACACAGAATAATGTTAAAGCATTTTAAAATACCAAGGCAATCACATAAAAGAAATGCTTTTGTTATTTGTTACCAAAACGTACTGAAACTGAATGTTTAAATGCTTGGTTGAATAACAGGCAAATATCAAAACCACTAATTAAATAGAAAATTATGCACATATAAAAATATAGCAACAACACTAATCCCCATTACACATTATTCTGATGAGATGTGTAGACTTTCATATTAGTACCATTGATTCCTGAACAAGGTCCTCCAGCTTGTGAACACTGCTGGATCTGTCACAGCTGTATTTCCGTTGAATGGCATCTTTTAGATTCCTTAAGTAATCCGTAGTTTCTTTGGCATCATTGAAAAACTATGGAAAGATGAAAACTGGCAGTTATACTAAATGCCAGGAAAGCAGAGAGTTACCAAGTACCAGGGCCCCTTGTGTATACCACTCATGAGAACAGAATAAAATCACAAGACAACTCAATAGCCATGTCCTTCCTTTAAGCAAACTCTGGAACTCAGGTAACTATGAATGAACATCAAGTGTCCAAAGTTCATGTCTATATTGTGTTTTCGCCCTGGATTATTTTAACTGAAGATCTGTTTTACTTTAGGGTCCAAATAATTTTTAAGTAGGGATGATATTCCAACAATACTTCAAAAGTTCTGAAGAACAGAAAAAAGCACACCCTGTCATGACTCTCTGCAGTGAAATTATTTCCTTAATAAAATGACCCTCTTATATAATATGGTTTTTCTGGGACTTTAACAGGTTTCTAAAGGATTTCCTCTTCCAGAGAATGCTTCAATCTATCATAGAGGACATATATCCCATACGCCCTACAAAGACAGTATTCAGTTTATTTCCCCTGCACATATTATAAATGTAAGTTGACAACAACAACTCTTGGCTGTACGTCAGCCCGAATCACCGTGCTGTCCACTGGCGCTGTGGTTCCATTCACATACCTCGAAGTAGGCAGTGTTCTCCTTGATGTGCTGCTCCACACACTGGCAGAGCTGCAGGATCCAGCTCCACTGGGTCTGCACGGCCGCTCGGTAGGCCTTAAAGAGAAAACACAGCCACCATGACTGGTCGGAGAGTCACAATGCAGCTGTTGGAGGAGCAAAGACTAACAGACGGCGGGGCTGCCTTAACTGAGCAAGACCTGCGAATCAGGGTGGTGCAGCGTCCCTCTATCCTGAGAGTTCTCCCTGGCACAGAGCTCATCCTACAAGTTTAAATAAAATATTTTAAATCAGTCCGATCAATTTCTTTCAAATTTAAATGTCTTGAGATTTCTTCTGAAGATGCGTGGAAAAAGCTAACTCTGGTATTTTTACATGAAAAAAGCACTGCACATCTCAAATGGATGCCAGTTACGCTGCTACTTGGAAAGCCGGTCCCTCAGCCTTTCGCAGCAGCCCTCACACCGACGCTGCGGGATCCTCAAGTGAGTTCTCCTTCATGACACTTCCCCTTCTCCTTTCTCTTCTCTGTGTTTTTATATGACAGGGTCAAAAAAATACACCTTCTAACACAAAAATAGATGGGTTCTGTGGTTTTCTCTTTGTTTTTGCTCCTGAAAGTAGGCCAGAAGCTGTGGAGGGTGGAGAGGAGGAGGATTTACGAGCTTGTTTTTGCCAGGGAACGGCGTGGGGCGGGCAGAGAAGGGAGGATGCGAGCCGGATCAATGCAGTTCTGGAATTGTAATCATTATAATACTAGGAATTTTCATTAAAAACATTACTTGAATTTTTATTTAAACAAAGTGTATCTTTCACCTGGGCAAAAATACTATAGAAAGGACGCGTACATCACTAGGCAAGGAAAATGCCTTCCTATTTTAAGATGCAATTTACTCATTTCCAGAAGAGGGCGATCTAGAAGCTTTACTGACTATCTCAAGAAAGCCTGCCATTCTTTCTCCTTTTGGAAAAACTCCTTCCTGCAGAGCTATGTACTCTGACAGGCTTTCCTAATGTATTGTAAAATGCAGCCTGGAAATCTGGTGACATATCATGGTCTTATTACCTGCTCCCTCAAATTAAGCTACCTTGACTAAATTGGCTCTAAAAGACATTATCATTGTACATTATTAGATTATGTTTCTTTTTTGTATCATATTTGAAATTGTTGATAATTAACTAAATGTCATCCATGTATCCACAAGACATTGGAGAGACCAAAGAAATCATAAGGATAACAAAGGTTTAATTTTATCCCTCTAGGAACTTTTAATCAGATTAACATTTCCACATAAAAGTGATTAGGTTCACATTCACATTTCCCAGTCCCACCAAAATTCTTAATAATCATAGTTCCTAACAGTTTTTATCTGTATCCTAAGGAATGGGCTACTTTTAGTTTATAACCATACAAAAGTATAGCAGACCCTTCATTATTCTCATTTCCTTTCCCTAGTGTCCCCCACCTACTCTTCTGTCTTTCACATTCCTATATGTGGTATTTTGTGTAGATGCAAAACCTTGTTTTTATATAAATGAAAGGTCAAATGTCACATTTCCAAAACTTCCTAGTTAGGTCTAGAATTTTACTAATCCTTCGTGTCATGATTATATCAGTGAACACAGACTATCAGATTCTCTTCCCCAACTGTGAAATTTGGAGCCTGTTACACTTTGTAAGCACAGTTTCATTTTTTTTTCCCCTCAGGCAATACACCACATCCGTCTATATCTGATGCACCTCGCCCTCTTATGCAACTCCCCTTCATATTAGAAAGTCATTAATTCTAACTAGCCAAAAAATTAAACATACCACCACCACCACCACACACAGGCAACGTGACAATTGCATATCAAACTCCATTTGATTTGAAATGGGTGTGTTATGCTATAAGCCTTACCAAGTCTTCATTTCAATATGTCTCACAAAACCAGACCGTGAACAAAATTAATTAGTGAAATAATAACAAATACTTCTTGAGAACATACTATGCACCAAGAACTGTGCTGAGGAGTAAGAGCAATTATTTCTTCTCATTCTCACCAAAACTCAATGGGTTAGAAGCAATTTTCCCCACTGTAGGTAAGTGGGGCTCAGCAAAATTACATCACTTGGGCAACGTCACAAAGTCAAGAAGAAATAAACCATCAAAGCTGGTAAGTCAAGGTCCTTCATATTTACTGTAATGCATCTCTTCAGGCACAGCAGATGCCAAATTACCTTTATTTCAAGTGAACAGTGGTTGACACACTTGGGGAAAGCAAGAGGACTAAAGGCAAGATCAGTGTGATCTGTCAAGAACATTATTTTGAACAAGGCTGTAAAAAAAGTTGGATGGTTTGTATTTTCCAACTTCTTAGCAAGAAATGAATCTTAAGAATGATAATTAAATGCCAATATTCAACTATGACTGTTACACCTTCTGACTTACCTCAATAGTTAATCGGGCTGGATGATTTTCCAGAAGTAGCTGCTCTGCTATCTCCTGAACGGATTTAATACTTTCTTCCTTTTGATCTAGTTCTCTCATTAATTCCTAATTTAAGGAAAGAAAGAAAAGAGTCAGAAAGAGATCTAAGCCTGAAATACAACTTTAGCATTCAATCACCAAGATTGCACTTACAGCATGATAATCTTTTTTCCAAGCTATGTTAGTATTTCTTTCACTCCAGTCATAAGCAACTTCCTCTTCTTCTTTTTCATTCAACCAAATAAGTTCATTTGTTGCACGAGTTACAAAATTATGGAGTGTATCGAGGTGCCACTCCTGATTCCTGGATGTGCTCTTTATAAGGAAAATCACTGTAAGAATCATGTCTTAGCCAATAGAGATAAAGGAAACAGAAGGTTTAAAAAAAAAAAGAACTTACCAAGAGCTTGGCATACTGACTCTCTAATCGGTACAGCTTTTCTGCATAACTTAGTTTAAGAGGTCCCGTCATTTGGATCTGTAATATAGGATAAAATGACATCGAGGTTAGGAATTTTTATGAATTATGACTCATATTCACTGTATCTATTATTTTTGTCTTTAGAAACATAGCAGAACAACAGTAAGCCAAAATGAAACATATACAGATTTTAAATTTGTATACCTCACTGATTTTTGCTTCTTTAAGGCTAGATTCAAATTCTTCAATAGCCTGGTGAACATTTTTATGATTTTCTAAATGGCTTTCAACACTTGGCAAATCCCATTCAGTGCTATCCAGCTGCACCTTTAAACAGAAAGAAACTAGGTTTAAAAAAGAAACTGACAGCAATAAAGACGGAAAGTTACAGGTCAAGTAAATATTTTTTACCTGCATCTCATCAACCCAATTCAAAAGATCCTGAACAAATTTCATGTTGATTTCTTCTTCTGTTAAATTCTGACCCAGCAAAGAAGACTTTAGAAGGGGCTTTTGGATCTGCATCAACTTCAGAGTTTGCAATGAATTTGTCTCTGTCCCTGAACTGAAATTTGGAACTATTCCTGATGGGAAGCCAGGTGTATAAGCTGGAGTGACGGATGGAGTCAGGCGGGAAGTCAGACCTGATGACAGGCCTGATGTCATACTAGAAGGGGTCAGGGAAGACGTTAAACTCTGGGTCAGCCCTGAGTTCAGAGTGGGCTTTACGGTCTGTGCAAACCCTGAGTTTAAACTCTGAGTAATTCCTGGTATCATGAGCTTCATCTGTTCTGTTGTCAGCATGTGTCCTTTGCCGTACACTGAGGAACATTCATTCCGTAAGGTCATAATTTCATCGCGCAACTTTGCAACCCTGAAAAGAAAATCAAAAGGAATAAACTAATATAAAAGGCATTTTTCAGAGTGAACCCTGATGTGAACTATGAACTTCAGCTAACAATAATGTATCAGTATTGGTTCGATTATAACAAATGTATTACATTATGCAAGATGTTAATAAGGGGAGAGGAGTATGAAGGGGCATCTGGGAACTCATAAATTTCACTCGTTTTCTGTAAACCTGAACTTAGAAAAATAAAGCCTACCAAAAAAAAGTCAGTGTAATAACACTGTTAAATTTTACATCACTTTTTCCATTGAACACTGTGCTGTAAGTACTTTCCATATTATCACATATCTGTCATTTATATAGAACATAATTACTACACCATAATGTGAGCATTTTATGATTTGACATGTAGGATATTTCCAAATTTTTATTATAAGATATTTCTGATTTTTAAAATTTTTCTATATTTGCTTATATATTTTCAATATTTAGAATTACTATAGATTCCTAAAAGTGTAACTACTTGGTCAAAATATCATTTATAATTTTTAATGAATTTATATGCTATATATATTTCTCCCAACATTTTGTTACAACCATTGTCATGACAGGATAAACAGAAAACTTAAAAATTGAGTTAAGATAATACTCTTCTTCTTTTTCCCCTTTTTCAAATGTCACATATGAATATTTTAACTCTGTGTATGTTAGTTAGTATGGTATTAAATAGTATATACATCAAATAATATTTTTTCTATTACTTATCTTTGAAGAATACCTACTTACACAATACCAGAATTAATGTGACACATATTTCAACTGAAAAGAGTGTAAGAAATATATTTCATAAAGTTCTCACACTCCATATTCCTACTGTGGGTGCCCATGAAAAGTTAGACAAGAGGAAAGGGTGTGCATAAGTAGCACTCATACCTCTGTACCAACTGATCTGCGTGGTAGTATTTTCCATCAGTAAGAATCTGTACATCGATCACATGCTGGCGTAAAAGGTTCTCACATTCAAGTATATACCCGGCAATTTCTGCTTCATTCTGAAGCTGCACCCCGGATTGCAATCTTCTGGAGTCCTGCATTTTAAAATAACTTAGTATTAATTCTGTGAAACCAGTTTCAAAACTAGCCTCAAATAAAAAACGTGAACTATTAGAACAGAAGGCTATTTGAGTTTCTCTCTGTTTTCCCTCTTGGTTCAAAAATACATTTTCCCTTTGTGCCCTGTCCACCAAGAGAACAGTGATCACGATCTTTAACAACCTTTAAATTACAGCAGATAAAAATACCAAGAATTGACCAAATGTTATCCAAAAGTTTCAGTTCACCGAAAAGCACAGAACCTTTACCACAATCAAAATGACTTCTAAAATTAACTTACAGACTGGAGAGCATTTCGGGCAAGAATCAGTTTGTCTTCACCAATGACGCTGTCCCTCTGAATTCGGTTGGCAATCTGCTGCAACATTTCCAGCCTGAAAAAAAAAAGAGACAAAATAAAATAAAGCCTTTCCCTTTGAAGTAACAGAGTTGATCATCCTTGAAAAAGGCTGCCCACCAAAAGTAAAACACAGTCCCATACCAACAGCTCAATACCTGTGTCCACCAACAGATTCAGTGCTGAAGCTAATGCAGGAGTTGATCAATGTTGGACCACAATTAACTGAGAGAAAATTTTCATTTGAATCAAGGCTGGCTTGAGTGCTCATAGTATTACTAAACACAGAGTCACTGCTATGGTAACTGTAACTGCTACTGTGCATTTTTATTCCTGAAATAATGCTCTCTCTTTGATTATTAAAAAGTAACTAAAACATAGAAGGTCTGCTAAAAGCTCTACTTCTAACGGTGAGAAATGGCAGCTGAGTGTTACAGCTTTAATAGCTCCTTAAATATGCTCCAACATGCATATTCAACACACAGCAAATGATATGCTGATAACTATTTAAAAGAATCTCGCCTAAAGCCATGCGTTCGCTAGCTGAGGTTTGCCTTTTATAGCTTGCATTAAAACCCTGCAAGTATGGACAAGGCGGGCTGATCAGGGCGTCACTGAAAAAGATTTGCCAAATATTTTCACCAACAGTCACCCAATTGTAACCACCTAAAAAACAACTCAGATGCCACACTGAAGTGGAGGTACAATCAGTAAAAGTTTTTCTGGCAATACCAATCAGGTTAAAGAACACAAATATTCAATCACAGCCTGACTTTTGTAAAGGGCCAGGTTTGTACTAAACAACAAAAGGCTAAAAACAGGTACATAAGAGCACCTATAAACAAATGAGTTTGATGAGAAACAAAGTACATGTCCATCTTAGCCACCATGCCATTTGTTTATTAGGTTAAATTAACTGGAAAATTATCCATATACCTCTCTTTAGATGACATGCTCTCAGGAATGTTGCTTCTCATCTTAATATAGTTACTTTATATTTCTTAAAGTCAAAGTACTGAGTTAGAGTATCAATGCAATGCTTGCAAATTTAATTTGTCTGTGCTTGTTCCTCCTTTCTTTAGGTTAGGACACAGCCAAAGAACATTGGCTCTTTCTCATCTGTCTTTTAAGCACTCCCATGCCACACAGCTATTATTTGCAATTAATAGCTAGCGCCAAAAAACTTGTTGCATCAGGAAAAATGAAGGCTGTTATCCAACCAAGTTCCTGAAATATTGCCCAGCCCCCAACACTACCAAAACCAAATTGTTGCTCTCTACTCTGAAGTAGGTTTTTTTTTCTTTTCAGAAGGCAAGAAAGAGGAAATTTGAGTGTCCTGTCAAGTATAGTTAGTAAATAGGAAAGCTCCAAATAATAAGAGTACCACCTAACATTTATTAAGCAATCACTCTTTCCCAGGGAATTAACTTACCGTTTTAAATACATGACCTCATTTCATACCTATAAGCAGTAAATGTGGTAGGTACTATTACATCCTGTTTATAAATGAGGAAACTGAGGCTTAAAAAGGTTAATGAACTTGTCTTAAGATTTCACGGTTTGGAAATTGAGCTAATAACCTGTTCCAGGACTGACTGGCTCCTAGACTTTGAACTCTTAACCACTGCATGCTTTTATTAACATACATTAAAATCCGATTACCATTATGGTGACTAAAACTCTACTTTGTGTCCTCTCTTTGGCCTGCTTGTCTATAACTTCTGATAATTAGCTTAGTATCTCATTTTAAGCCCAGAATTACCTCTTCCATGAAAGATTCATCCTGGGTATTTCAAGCTTATTCTGGCTCTAGATTCTGTTATGTAAGGGATAAATATTATGCTTTAAAACAGGAGTATATGATCAGTGCACTTTAATGAAGGACTGACAATTTAGTCTTCTTCTCATATCTTTCACACATGATTTCCTATTTCAACAGTGTTGCAGTCACACGTGGGCAACAGAGAACCTGGGCGCCCTGAAGCCTCCGTGTGTACCAGGCACTCAGCCAGGCCCGGGCAACCCAACAAAGAGCAAAAACAAGAGCCTGTGCTGTCTTGGAGCTCACAACTTTGGAACATATACTAAGGCAGCCCTTAATATAACACTTACAGAAATAAATATAACATTGCACCAACTGCAGTCCTATGAAGGAAGAATATATGTAAATATGAGAATCAAAACCAAGTCATGTGAATTAGCCCAGGAGACCACGGAAAGTTTCCTGAGGAAGTAACACTGGAGCCGAGACCTGAGAACGATTAGGAGAAAAGACAGACAAAGAGGATGAAACAGACTTCCCTGCGAACAGAACAGATGGTGCAAAGATCCTGTATATGGAGGAGGGTGGGGCCTTGGCAAGTCAGAGCTCCAGAGACACCCCCAGCATGGCCACACCACAGGGAGCAAGGAGGGTGTAGTGCGAGGAGACCTGGGAGGGGTACCTGACCACACAGGCCTTACACCTTAAGGCCCAGCCCTGTGGGGCTCACGGCTAATGAGGGACAGAGATCTCAGGCTGAGAGGTAAGGACTATCAGAGACAAATCCATTCAACAAAGGGCTCCTGAGGATGCTAAGCAGCACTTTCCCAGGTATAGTCGGGGAGACAGAGCGACAGAAAGTTAGTGTTGATTTCATGGAATAGATGCATTTGCAGAAGTGGGGCAGAAAGGGAATTTGGACCCAACATTTACTGAGTGTTTTTCTAGATGTCATCTCATTGCCCTGTAAATGGTGGCAAACTAGACTTCCAGCTTCCACTGTCCTATAGCAAAAGGGCCATAGACAAGAACATAACAAGAAACAGTATCAGTTAACTGTTGATCTATGAGCTTCTGGATCCAGGTGCTGGTGACTTAAAGGCCATTTGGAAAAATTCTCATGGTTAATTCTGACTGGCTTTAAAACCATAATCACATTATTAGATGAGATGTCACATACCAATCCAGCCTATCAGGTCCTTTTTAAATATTATGTCACTTATTTATTCCTCAAATTTCTCAGAAGAGTTTCTCAGTAAGAATATGGAGGATCAGAAAGACTAAGTGATCTGAGGTCACACAGCCAAGAAAACAGAAAATGGAAATGTTGGTCCTGGGTCTGCCTGGCTCCAAAACTTAAGCCCTTTCCATGAAAGCAAGGAGACCCTCCCCTGCCTGGTGGTATTCAGGGTAGAAAACGCCTCCATGGAGCCTACCTTTCCACTTCCGGACGAAGTGCCTTCTCCCTCTCGAGCATGGCAATAATGAGTTTCCCCCACTCTTTTTCTATGTCATTTGGATGATAACCTTGAAGGAGCTTGATGCGTCCAAATTCTATCCAAATCTTGAGAGAACAAAATAATCTCATATAAAGCAAAGGTGTAAAAAATGAAGATTATGCTTGACAATATAAAGGAAATTTCCTCTTACCTCCAGTAATTTATATAGGTGTTTAATTTTTGATTTTTCTGTCTCTTTTGGTGGAATTTCTGTTTCTTTAAACTGTAAATACTGGTTATAAAGTGCCTAAAATGAAAGGGAAAATAAATGAAGGGCTACACTTTGAAGACCTGTTTTCATTATCGCATAATGTTACCATTTCGAATGCTAGTTACTGTGTCACATGCATTCAGTGGAATTCCTTAATAAAAATGATATTCAAGGACAACACTGATTCCAAACTGGCTGGCATCTGGGTTATACAAGATTTGGTGAGGGCGTAATTATCACTGTGAGCCATGATTCAACATGTGCCACACAGAAATCTGGAGAATAATAAACTATGACAGTGTTTACTATGACTCTACTAAAAAGATCTCTCCTCATACAAACTAGAAAGCATATCCTTTAAAAGATACACCTTCCAAAAGCTGCACTTTAGTTAGAGTTGTTGGAGAAATAATCTGATATAATTCCTGTAAAGGAAAAAAAAAACTCTTCTCTTCTACATCATAGATGTATCTTAGAAACAGAATTCTTATCAGACAGATAGGGCTGAAATTTGGTTTCAACATCCCATTGGCCAATTAAACAAATTTTTAGTAAACAAAGATAGATGCTATTAGTATGGAAGTTCCAACCATTATATTATCTAGTCTACAGATACTAATTTGGAAATCTCTTTTATATAAGTTGTTGCATTTATTAAAACAGACCTTTATAAAAATTAGGTAGCAAGATATCACCGTGTTTACTAAGCATATATAAATTATTCCACAATAATTCATGCTTTTTTTTTTTTAAGTCCCAGTACGCCTTCAGGCAGACACATTTCTGAAGGATTCCACTTAATGCTTTCCTGGATAATGAAATTATTGGCATTTCCTCATGATATATTTCCTTTCCTATATTATGTACTATTCCAGACATCTGCAAGTACTTTGTAAAGTCATTCAACCTTATTCCAAAACTTTAAGAATCTGCATTAAACAGAAGCCAGTACAAATTTACCCATGTGTCTAGACAATAGGAATCCATTGGGAAATAAGTTGAACTTAAATTTGAAAACCGTTTTGAACTCAAAATGCAATGCTTCGGGATGTCCGTCAGTAAGTAAGCAAGCACAGAATGCCACTGTGTACTAAACACTGTTTGCGGGGAGTTTGTTTCTTGCCCGGAAAGGTTACCATCCACATGGGGAGATACCACACAACCTCAGAACACTTACGCAGAATGGTATCAGCACATGCGGAGGACAAACTCCCTGTGGCAAGGAGGGCTGCCCTGCACATGTTCCGTGCAGATGCGCGAGCACCATGCATGACTCCTGCAGGGCCCGCCCTGGATTCGGACAGTTTTTGCGATTCTAGTGTGATCATGGAAACAAAGCCTACAGTTCAAAGAGTTAGACTTTGTTCTTAATATTCACATTTTCAGTTTCTTGAAATAAAGCAGACTACTTTGCTATGACAAATCCAAATATACAAAGACAACTTGTTTTTTTATTAGATTTCTTATTCCTCACTAAGTTTATATATCTAGAGAGCCTTTTCTGTAATGTCTTTGCCTCAAAGAGCCGCACGTGTTTTTAGGTAGTAGCAAATGTTTTACAAAACCATTAATTCACTTAAACTGAAAGTCAGGTGTATATTTTGAGTTGACAGTAAAATAGAGCGTGCACCACTGGCTATACACAAGAAGCCTCTGAAGCAGTTTTTAACAGGATAGTTCAACCACCAGGTGCACTTCCAACCACTGTCACACTTATGCAAGCTTCCCAGAGCAGCCTCCTACGCCAGCCACCTGGTGGGCTCCAAGTATTTCCCAGGCACCAACACCTATGGGCAATATCAGTTCCAGACCCTCTCAGATTGTACCTTAAAACTGTCAACAGTGTAAAGTTAAGAAACTATAAATTTCTTTAAGATACTGTTGCTAGTATGTTTTAATTATGAATGTTTGCCTCCATTTTCTCTGTATAATAGGAGATGAATAAATAAAAAATGTACCTTCTTGTTAGTGACTAATCAAGGACAATTTTTCTTGAACCTTTGAAATTATGGAACTATTAGAGCATTATTTAAAAGTTTACTTATCACCTTAATCTAGTTAACTTCTACAGTGACACAGACCTTTAGTTCTACAGGACTATTAGGAAATGTTCTCTCAGACATTGTGATCACATGGTGTCTAATCCACTTGATGAGGTAGTTCACCATATTCTGGTATTCAATCCATTTGACTTCAACATCCTGGAACAATAAAATGATAGGAAGTTCCGTGTGTGCAGATAATAGTCATATCTAACACAGTTTAGCCAGAGGTCATTCTGTGAATTTACACGTCATTAAGCCTGACAGAGAGAACTTTCTGCCCAGTCCCAATCCGTTCCACATAAACAGCTTTAAAAACATGCTATCAACATTTAACTAGTAAAATGAGCCTAATGAGTGCCAATTCTGACCCAGAGATAGGGGTTGCCTGGAGCACTGTGTTGAAAAGACTTCTAAGGCTGCATCTAAATGCAATGGAATAAAAACACTGCAGCCATTTTGGGGTGTTTTTCAGACAATCAAAAAGGGAGAGTAATAGCTTGCATAAGCCAGATTAATAACCATTTCTGCCAATCTTTCCAGATGTAAGTCTACTGTGTATCTGAAACTTAAAGAGCTATACAATGTACAGGAAACTAGATAGAAATAAAAACTATAGGATATGTATATGGTGGGATTATTCAAGTACTCATTAAGCAAACTCAGAAAAATAGAGGAAACTGAAAGGTTGTCAACTGCTACATTCAATGAAGTATTTGATGAGGGCTTACTATGTTCAAAGCACAGTGCTAATTGTTGAAATAAAAATATAACACTTTAAGACTTAATACGTTTTATCAAAGAGCTACTCTCTAGATGGGGAGGCAAAAGAGTCGTACAGTTAAGCAAAATGAAAAGCAGTATTAAGTGTCAAAATAAATAGGTAGTGTATGCTGGGGTTGAAATACAAATTGGTTAAGCATAAATGTGCCTCCAAACAGTCACTAAAAGCTTCTTGGGAGACATAGGAGGGTGTAAATAAAAGACAGAGGAGTCCCAAGTGGGTCAGCACTCTGAAACAGAAATGCCCTGGCTACCAGCAAACAGTCTATATTGGGACATTAGAGCCAAAAATGCAGGCAAACAGAATTAATACATGCAGAATTTTGAAGGTCAGAACATCTACACTGAATTTAGCCTTTCAAGTCAAACGTAGCCACTGAAAGTTTTCAAGGTAGATATCAGGTTTTAGGAAGGCTAATTTGGTGACAGTGTGCAGAGCTGATGGGAAGAGAAAAATAATGGAAACGGAAAGCTATAGGAAAGCTGTCATTCCAGGTTTAGTGTGAAAGGGTCAGAGTGGGGAACAGGGTGGAGGTAGTGAGAAGATAAAGCATGGAATGGCCACAAGAAACATTCTGAAGCGACGCTCAACACTGAATCACCGGCAGACATTAGAGTAGAGGAAGAGCAGGGGAGCAAGTTTCTCGAGAGACCTCAAGGGGATAATCCTTTGAGACAAAGAACAAGAGGAAGAGAATGAAAGTAAGTTTAGAAACAGCAGTACACAGAGGTGAACAGACCAGAAGAGAGTTCGCCAAGATGAGCTCCTAAATCTTCCAAGTAAAACAGAAAAAAAAGTTATCTGTAAGGAGAAGGGGAGATGCCCAGGGGGAGAGGGGATCAGCCCCAAAAGCGTAACACATCCAGAATTTACTGTTCTCCCCCAGAAATGCATGTGCACATGTTAGCATGACCACCACAAAACACATGATGGAACTGAATCACACAAACCTTTAAAAGCAGCGGACTTAGAGTCCAAGACTATGCATTGGACACCTTGCCCTGCTTATGAAGTAGTTCTGTTAATTTGGCAAAATCAAATAACTCTCCGCCAAATGTCACCTTTAAGTCAGAAAAACAATACCTGACCAAATTATCCCATGGGATTAGGTAAATTAATAAACTTCAAAGTGGTTTCTAAAGGGAGATATTCCATACATATGGAAGGACATCAAATAGAGCAGTTTTGAAACAGCAGTTGATTAGAAATGAAAAATATCCAAAATTCAGTAGTTTATAGCTTTTATCTGTAAATAACATGTAATCCTGAATGGTCTCCTTTACTTACGACACAGAACAAATGTTTGAGTTGTACTTAATTGTAATGGTGGAAAGGTGCCACAAAAATAGCATAAGGCATAGGTTTATTAAATAGAATATTAGCTCAAATTCTTTCAAAAATATTTGTATTTTGAAACTGTAAAAAGTACCATCAAAGAATTCAGTCATTTCCTGAATTGCGCCTGCTAGTATGGAAAAATCAGTACTCACATTCGCACCAATGCCTTCACCACCTTCAGGGACTTTGGGAAACGCATCATAGAGAGATGACACATAAGTTATTACCGACTTTTCATCAGGGGAGGAGACATCAACATCTAAAGCAGCAACATAAATTATTTTAAAATGCTGGCAGATTACTTTTGATCAGACTTGCATGCCAGTCCACGTGTGGTCAAGGCAGCAACTCACCTTCAGGATCCAGAAGTCTTATAACACCAATTTTTTCTGCTACATAAAAAGCGTGCTCTAAATTTGCAAGGTTGCTTTGAACAGCAACAGTATTCATGTCGATCAGGTCCGGCCTAGGAAAAAATTCATTGGATTAGTTAAGTTTTCTCATGTACCAATTCAACCTTATACTTACATGTGTATCAATTTACGTAACAACTTTTGTAAATATTAATACTAAGCCTGTGTTGAAATATAGAGATTTTCATCAACCATTTAGCACTGCTTACTGTTCTCAGAAACTTCTGTTTGTCAAAGACATGTGTAGCAAGGAAAATATAAAAGTTTGAACTTACAGAACTTTCAACAAAGTCTACAAATTCCTCCTAATTGGAATACATATGATATTTGTCCCATTCAAACTACATAAGCTCCGTTGTTCCAATAGCATCCTTTCAATCCAACTAGCATCTTCAGAATGTTTCTCCCCAAGCTTGGTTAGTTCACTTTCATTCCCCTGGCATCCCCATCCAGGGTGCTCTTTCCTGGCACTGCTGTCTTCTCACTCCCCATCCGTGAAAGCAGAAACCAAGCCCCACCTCATCTGGGATCCCTCACTAACCTTCCCTGCCCTCATTTTCCTCTGTTTCCTGAGTTCCTTACACTTCTGGGCCTTTGCTGGTCAATTTGGCATTTAGAAAAATCATATACTTCCCTGCTCTGGTAATTCATGGTTTAAGTGCAAATACAACCTTGTTTCTCTCAACTGGTCAACTCCAAGATAGCAAGAACCATGTATGTATTAATAAACTTTCGCATTTTATTCTTCTGCTGAGATAGTGACATATACATAGTAGACACTTAATATTTACAGATAAATAGATGAATAGGTTAATAGTAATTAAAATCATAAATGAAAGAGTAAAATAAACACTAGGTTGTATATTCACAAGCATTCATGTGCATACACGGGCACACACACACATTTTCTCTCTCACATACACCAGACTTCACCTTTTTCTAATTGGGAGACTTTGATGATAATCTAAACCGAAGGGATACCTGGAAGCTAGCCCTAATCTATAGGGCAAGGAAAGACTCCCTAAATATTCCTTATACAGAAAATGGCAAAATATGGCAGTTGGAAACTTAACTCAAGGCCAGAAGCCACTCAGGAAACTTTCATCTCAAAAAGAAAGCTTTAAAAGCATGCAGACACATTAAGGTCTTGAAAAAGAGTGGTGGCCACCCTCAAAATCACTGAGTAAAAGAACCTGTTTACCAACTTGTAAGGAAAGGCTCTCTTGTCTCTACACCCTCCACAGGCACACTGGTGTGCTCAAAACAACCACATGGAGAACTGCAGAAAAAGTGGGAGGACTCAAAAGTAGTGTGGGAGGAATGAAATGCAAATTATTTTGAATACTACTTGGGAAGCTGTTTACATGAGAAAGTCTGAAAATATATCATTAACCTTAAGAAAGCAGGCAGTAATTTGTGCTCTTATTTTTATCTGATGAGAAAGCAGGCCTCCAAAGAAATCTACTTATAGATTTATAGCACTTTGAGGTGTTCATAACCTTAAAAGGTAACTCTCGTTACCTACCTACTTATTTCCCAGGAAATTACTAGGAAATTCAGTAATGTTTTTCACATGCCACATGCCACTTGAAAGTGATCCTACATTTATTATAGGAAAAATAAATCTACTGACTGTTACAGTAGAGGTCAATGACATACCTCTAAAAATAACATTATTTTTATACACAGAAGCATTTTGAAGAATCTGCCAACTTCAAGATTACCAGACAGGTGAGTATAACAGTCTAGACAAAAACAAATATCCAAAGTTTAAGAAATTGTTTTGCTTTCATAAACCTCACACATTTGTAAAGCCCTAAAAAAGCAGCCTTTCTGAGTTTGCCACTTCTACCAACAAGAAAGGGCATGTTGTTGGGCGAACCCTGCCATAAGCAGAGAAAGTAAACACTGAGTAATCCCAGAGGGAATGAATAAAGTCATTGAAGAATCAAGTTTTTGACTAAGAGAATAAAACATAAAACTTCCTTCAGAATGACACAGACATTTCAGCACAAAAGCAATTGTATAACGCATGGAGTTTGGGTAAGCCATCTCCTTTATCATATTTAACAGTTTAAATCAAACAAAAACTAAAATGGTTTTCCTCCATTAAAACACAGCAGTAGACAAAGAAAATTAATTAAGCAAAAAATGAAAGGGTAAAAAAGCTAAAACCACTATGAAAAATTAACAGCCTGAAAGTCTGCAAAATCCTATCCCTCCTCTGGCTCATGTCCTAACCATTCGGTCATTTTCAGTCTTCAAATCTGTCTTTACATGCCTGTAGCTTCCCCAAAAAAGCATTTGCTGGGATCTGTGTACCTTTCTTTTCCTTCATAGTCTCACTGGGATAATTTAACCTTTAAAAACTGTAGCTACTAAAAAAAAAAAAAAAAAATAAGGGAGAAATGTGAGATTTACATATAAATCAAGTATGAAAATCAAATGAATAATCATATCTGACTTGATTGTTTATAGTTCATGATGTGTGATCAAAACTGAAAGTTTCTGTGATATGACTGCCCTTGCACTGTTCACCATTGTAAGAACTTATTCACTATGTAAGAACTTGTTCACCATGTAAGAACTTGTTCGTTATGCTTCAGAAGATTGGAAACTGTTGAGAATTAGGCTTGGGGTTGATTAATGATTGTGCATTTAGTCCCCTATACAGAATTTTATTGTTGTTAACAACCATTTGATCAATAAATATGAGAGATGCCCTCCAAAAAAAAAAAAAAAACTGTAGCTACTTTCCACATACAAAAGGCTGTTATTTTCATTCTAAGGTTTCATTGCACTGTAACATCTCTTTTTTGTGAAACTTTAACAGGAAATTTCATTCCCCTCTTGGATTGACTAACCAAAGACTACACTATACCATAAGCAAGTAGAAGGCAGGGGCCACATTCCTATGTTGTAGTTTAGATAACTGAGTTATCTAACTTAGTTATTCTAATGTGTCCATTTTCTGGAAATCTTTCAAAGTCATCTGATCAAATCCTCTGCCACCTAAAATAATATATACTAGTCTTTTTATGGAAAAAGTGCCATTCTACCTCCTCCTTGTGTTATTATTCTATGTATGATACTGCAATCTTTTCTGAATGACTCAATCATCATGTGCAATTTTTCAAAATGTATATTTATATCCCACCTTTTTTCCATAAATGATTAAACACCTTACAAAGAAATATAAAAGCACAAGAGATAACACAAATTTTAAATTAGAGGTATAAAACCAAGATAAAGCCATAAGATGAGGTTGAAAGTGAGAACGAGAAGTGCAAACCTCTTAAACTCACGCTTAGTGCCCTTCTTTTGTTCCAAAAATAGAGAACAAAAATATATCAAATGAAATGTCTATTTCCAAAATACAAAGTAATTTGGATAAAAGGAGTGCTTATCTTTCACATAATACCATCTTAAAAGAGCATTCTCCCTAGACCAAAAAAAAAAAAAATACACACATGTCTATATACATCCACAAGTATCTGTGTATGGGCATTTATGAATATACAGGCATATATGTGGATACATGTGTCATATATACCATCCCCCACATTAACAGCCAAACTAGCAAAACATTAAAATTGCATGAGATTTTAATCTCTTATACAGAAACCCCAAAGTAACTTTCCAGTCCTCAAACATTTTAATATATTAGAACACATGAGAATTAAATGGGATTCGGGGACAATATGTGACTTATACCACGCTATAAATGGCTGAAGATAAGCACAAGAGACTTTTCCAAGGCTTCCTCACTGTATCATGCCAAACACTGATATGCTCAATTATAACGAACATGAAACAAAATCAAAATAGCTGGAAAGACGTACCTAGAAATTGCCATCAGAACATACTTGAGGAGGGACTGATAAAAATTAGTTAGAAAAAAATTAGTGCAGACCCAAGATTAAGAAATCCTGAACCAAAAATATAAAAACAGGGAAAAAGACAGATATAAGAAATATCAACAGTCAAAATTCAAATCAACATTTCTTTTTAAGTATGAAAAAAGTGATTTAAATTTACAGTCTTGTTGGGTTGTGCCGGTTCTCAGCACTCAGTAATTATTTATTGAATGCATACAGACTGTTTTGGCTATCCAGAATCTGAACCTTCTTATGTTTGAGACATTTCCCTTATATGAGTCATGAGGGCAGGAAAGGAGTAGAATTCATTTCCCAACACAAAACAAAAACACATTGGGTTCTTCTTTTCTCTTTCCTTTGCTCAAGAAATATCTACTGCATACCTCACCCCCATTCACGCCACTACGTAATCAACTCAAAGTCTTCCTTGTAAGACATGGTTCCACTATCATCTCCTCCAGGAAATACTTTTCTCTGTTCCCAGAATGCTCTCTGCTTTCTCTATTTACTACAATTTGTTATAGTCATGCATTTGTCTGCCTGTCATTTTAAACTGTGGGCTTCCTGAGACAGAGCCTGTGTTTTATCCATGTTTACATTTCCAGTAGCTAGCATAATGCCCAGCACATGAATGTTTGAGGAATGAATGAATAATAAAGGAGTGAATGAGCTTTGGGGAGTGGAAGGTACCATTGATTCAAATTTCTAGAGACACTTTCCAGCCTACATTTGTTCCTCTTCTTTTCTTTTCACTAACTTCTATAGATAAAACCACCACCTATTGCATCCACTCAGGAATTCAAATTTTTTTGAAACAGGACACAATTATTATTGCTCCTCCGTAACCTAAACATGCACCCTTTGAGGTTTCTTAAGGGCCTTTCTCAGCTGAAACAATCTGGAAAACAGGCATGGATTGAAAACAAGAAACAAGGGATAAATAGACCATAAAGTTTCAAAAAGCATAAATTATTGCTCCTAGGTTCTGAATCCTCCTTTCTTATGCTCTCATGTGCCCTCAACTTCAGCTTTTGGTAACATTTAAAATTGGGATGGCTTACAAATAATAACAATAACAGAACAGCAACAAAGATTAATATATATCAATACCTACTATGTGGCAGGCAATGTACTGTGGGCTTTAAAGGCATTGCCGTCTCACTGAACCCTTTAAG